TCTTGATCTGATATTGAACTGAGCTCAGAAAGCTGCTCATGCACTGACTGAACAAGCAACACACGCACGCGACTACAAAAAACAGGCGATACGTTTTGGCACAGACAGCGGCGAAGCCAAATTGCAGGATCAGGATTCTTGAAACGAGTGAAAGCTAGCCATCAAATCAGGCTCTTCATCTGTAGCAGGAATTTCTGCTACCATGGCTGAATTCGCTGCTGGAGGAACTTGCTGGGATGCTTCGGAGGAGCCTTGGGGAAGCCACTTGCCCCAGCTATCATCAATTCCAGCGTCTTGGATTGCGAGAGGGAGACCGATAGGGTCATCCAATGGCTTGTTGGACTTCTTGGAAGCCAAGGAAGGCTCGAACGGAAAATCCAACGAGTGCATGCTGGAAACGATATAGATGACGTCTATACGGGCCGCAGTTGTTCTGACGCACCACCTCTTGTCCGTCTTAGACGGTGAATGCACAACTGGGTGAAACCTGCCCAAAGCATTTTCCAAAACTGTGTTAGCACCCTGAGCCTTATGGGCTGCGCCTCCGACTCTGCCTGAAAATACCACTCCGCAACTGTTCTTTGTGGACCAATGCATGTTGCTCACAAATTCGTTGCGAGCTTCCTCCCAATCAGGCGTGGTCAGTACTTTACAGAAAAATGACCAACTGCTTTGCGGGGGTTTCAGATGGAGGGTCTGCTTTGCAGTAGGCAGAATTCTCCCCGACGATAAAATTCCAATGGCTCCGGCGCTATCAGTGCCATGTGCCCATTGATACCACTGATCGGGCGACGGAGGCGGCCCAGGAAAACCAGCCACCGGAAACACAAGCACACTACTTTCAGCCGCAGGAGAGGAAAAAGTGCTTGCTTCTGCTCGAAACGTATCAAAGATTGGGCACTTGGAACTCCAAAGCATCTGACAAAATTTCCGAAGGGTCTGTGAGTCCACCGAATTTGGGGGGAGCCCTTCCGGAAAACGAGAAAGCAAGAAGTCCAAAATTTGACGAATGTCAGTGTTGGTGCAAAGCTGCCATTCTCGGACCCACATTCTTGCGGCTTGCTTACGCCCTGTCCCACATTGAGACTGAGATCTGGTGTACAGCAACCAAGCATCAGAGCTTCTGAGAGCTTTGGTCTGGTAGATCAAGAAGCAGTAATCCAAAAAAGGCGTGAGCGGCTCTTCGACTACGAATGTGTCACGGGGATCTCGTCCCGCGATCTGATCTTCCAACTCCAGCGCAGAGGCTTGCATGACATCCTTGAAAAGCTGGTTCTCGGCTGCCGTGAGTTCTCCTGCCTGTGCTGCTGACTTGTTGGTTTGAGACAGCTTCTGTGAGGTAAAAGCTGCAAGATCGAAACGGGAGTCTTTGCGAATGAGCTGACCTGTTGCTTCACGGCCAGATGTAGCACCTTTTTTGGGAGGGGTCACAGGCTGCTGAGGGTTTCTGACTCCACGGCTCGGGCAGGGCGGCTGCAAGAATGGCTGCGCTGCGGGCGTTGGAACACCTGCAGGAGGGACCGCAGGGTTGCGTGCAGGAGGATGCCACTGATAAACATGCCGCGCAGGAAATTGATGAACTGGTTGTTGCTGCACAGGCGGGGCAGGCAGCAGGGGCGGCGGGTGAAACAATGGGGGCGCTGGCCAGTAGCCTAGAAAGCCGAAATCGCCAGGAGGGCCAACCTGTGGCACTGGCAGCGGGGGCGGTTGCCTCGGCAGCGGGGGGAAAAATGGCGATGCCGGTGGCTGAAGAACTCTGGGTTGCGCTGGCTGTCGCAGCCACGCTTGCTGAGGAATATGTGCTTCCGAAAAATCACCTGGCGGGATTTCCACAGAAGGCGGTTCTCTGTGGGAAGGTCGCGCTCTATGTCGCCGCCTGACGGACCTTGACCTGGATCTAGACCGATGGTCTGATTTGGCCTTGAAGGTGGTGTCTTGAAAGGGTGAAAAGAACTGGCATCTGGGTCTGGGGGGCGGTGGGGCTGGAGGGCTTTCAGCCATCCAGGGTCTGGCCGTTAGCGCAGGCGGCCTCGCCGAGTTTGACGATTGCACGCTGGCTGCAGGGCTGTTCTCATTGCTTCCACAATGAAAATGGAAGACATAGGACATGGCGAAAGAATGCTCGAAGCAAAGTCTACAACTTGATCCTGAAGTGAAGGAATTTTGAAAGATGCGTGTACAGAGATGCACCCTGGCAGATGGCAAACATGTAACTGAACTGCGCAGACAGATTTACATTTTCACTGCAAGACTCGCAACGGAAATCCCTGGCGCAAATACAAATTGCGCAGATGTTCGACTTGCTGTTTGCGCGAGGACGGTGGCCATGCAAACTGTACAATCAGGGCTTTACGAGAAAAGAAGCCTGATGCCCGAGCTGACCACGAACCTGCGCTGGACACATGCCTAAGTTTCCAGGGCTTAACCGGCTGTTTAAAAGTGACAGTCCGGTTAGAAGCAGAAATGTCGAAGCCCAGAAAGTGATGATCATCAACCGGCTCGAGCTGGATGGTCGACCCATAAAAAGACAAATGTTTGAAATCACGAAAGCACTGAAGATTAACTTCTTGTTCTGTACAAATAAGAAGTCGATTATCAACGTATCGGCAGACAAACGCTTGTGACGCTTGTCTTTCAAAGAACTTGCAGGAGGTGAGCTGAAAATCCCACTCTTGCTGCCAAAACAGTTCCCGCTGTATAACTGGGAGACTGCTGAGCACTGGGCTGATTTGATTTCCTACACACGTACCCCGGTGCTGTTTGAAAATGCGACCAATGGCCTGAAAAACGCCGGCACGAAAAGACAACTGGACAATGTCTGGGAGGTCTTGGACCCTAAGGAACTTGACCTGTTTGGTCGACTTTCCTTTGGGTTTTCCCGGCCAGGCTGTTTCTGTACAGACAGCCTTCTTAAGCGACACCGTGATATCAGGAGGATATCCCAAAGACAAATACTTCGAAATCAAAGCATCAAGAGAATGAAGAATCTGTTCTCTTGGCACCGAATTAAAGAAACCGACAAGATCATCATTGACTTCCAGCAGGTGAGATTCTGCAGGAGTTCTTTTAAAGAACTCATGCAATCTCTGCCAAATAATGGGAGTAGGTTCAAGTCCAAATGCTCTGTCCCATGTAACTTTAATCATGAGGACAATAGCGTGGGACGCGGCTTTCAACAGTCGACTGAACGGGGTAAACGAATAGGAAATGATAGTTCTGCCTTTGGCGAACTTCTTCTTCCTTTTCAAGAAAACAAACCCATTTGGTAACTTGCCTTTGCTATCAATGGCCCAGGGATACTTCTTTCGAAGGTAGCCTGGCACTTGTTGAAGAACCCATTGTCTCCAGGACTCTGGGTCTCCATCGAGATTGTGAAAAACCTCGGGATCATCCCAAGTACATCTGGCCGACTGAAAGTAAAACTGAGGACAAAATACCATCACATGATTGGGCTCGTGGTCCTCACAATGCACAACAAACTCCCGATGCAAACGCTTCCTGACGGCAGAAACATCTGCCCATGTGAGACGAGGAAAGCTTTTAAGTGCCACGTTGTGCCAGTACCATTCTTCTTCAAGCATAGCCTGAAATTCGGTCTCAACGTTGACCGGTATGCCATGCTTCTTTCTCCAGAGGTGAAACGTCTTGCAGTTAACCGAAACGAATTTGTGCTTAGCTGGAAAGAAGGTGGAAGACGCGCTTCCTGTTCCCAAACGACTGCATGCTGGATGCAGTTGGTTCAACATCTCAAGTCCGGCTGTTACATGCCCAGACGTGAAACATTCATCTGGAAGAACACGCTTGTAGAACTGACAGGTGCACGGAATTTCTTCAAACGAATTATGTTGGAGCCACATATCCCATTGCTGGACATTGTGAAGGAAGTCTTTGAGACTCTGATGTGGCTTTTCTCGAACTGACGCAGACGGTAAGTGAAACGGAACAAGCACATGCTTAAACCGAATTATAACCGACCGGAGCCATTTTGACATCCTTTGTGGAAACCTTTCATCAGCAGTAAACTGCAACTGGATCCCTAAAGATCCTTTCGGCCATGTCATGTTACGATAGCCGGCCACAGACTTCAGAATCATGCGTGCTTTGCTTCGCAAAGGTTCCTGAAGATTGGCACTGAGTCTTATGAGCGAGTAAATCTCATCATCAACAAACGATTGAGACCGGAGTTGTCTCGCTCTCTCAAACGAGGCTCTGGAAAGGCTGGTGAGATCATACAAAATGTTCCAGGCTTTCAGCCTAGACAGTTGGAAGGCGTAAGGTTGGTCTTGGGTAAAGAGCTTCTTTCGCAGCTTCACCCACAATCTTCTGCCAAACTTGCTGTACGACGACATTCTTCTTTGTCTGCTTGGCTTAAAGCCCAGCGCGGAGCGTTTCAGAAAGGACTGAATGAACGGAAAATTGAGTTTTGGTTGCCACGCATCAATGAGGCAATGCTCCAAAACCCACGCGGATTGATAATCCGAACATGTGGCAACCTGAAAAATTGTAAATTGTTCAATAGACTGATTGGAGGCCCAATATCGAAGGGCCAACTCAGCCTGCGCTTCCTGTCCTTTAACAAGCTTCCTGTACACGGAAAGCCTGTTGGACTCCCGACGCGAAACTGATATGCTGGTGGACCCTACGTACATCATAGTCGAAGGCTGCCGATATTTCTCAACAGTTGAAAAGATGCGCCAATCGACTTTGGTTTTGATGTACACGGCGTTGGACTTCAAAAAACGTGGCCATGTGTACATCGCAGGGTGCACTTTGAGTGCACGTAGCTTACGTCTGAGTAGCTCTGCGCAAGATTGCTGAGTCGAATCGGAGAAACAAAACAACAAGCAAAGATGTAGCAATCCTTGCGCCCACATAGAAGGAGCTTTGGAAAACTCGGGACAATGATGTATGAAGAAGGTGCAAGCCTCTCCAACAACACAGATGTCCTGCTTCAAACGCGGCCTATCACGATGAGCCATCGAAAGGGCTTCATAGGCTAGTCAAGCTGCCGTGAACTGAGCAACCGCAATGGTGGTCGAAAGGTTGCGAATGGTCAGACGACTCGCAATCTTGTCATCTAGACCAAACTTAACCGCCGCTGCTGTGATGGTGGCTTTGGGAATTCCACTCTCAAAGATCTTCTGCACTGCCAAAACATGCTTCTTCAAATTGGCAAACTGACCTTTGAAATCTGGCTTGGACTTAAAAGTTTGAAGCCATTCTTCAACTTGTTCATCCTTCGGACCAACAGGTCGAGAATCCAAAATTCGAGCCGGAGGAAACTGCAGTAACGTCTGGGCATCGAGTGAAGAAGGGCGGCTTTGCCCAAGTTCTTGCTTGGCTTTAGCCTTCGGCTTGGCCCGAAGTGGTGCATTCTCAGGCTCGTCTTCAGCAGATCTCTTAGTCGGAGTAAGTGTAAGGCCCGCTTGGGCAAGCTTTGCTTTAGCCCGGGCCAACTCTTCACTGGCAGTAGAGTCAACAATAGGTGCTCTCTTCTTGAGATCGTCAACAATGGATTCACACATTTTGCCCATGAACTTGGAAGCATCCTTGTGCTTGTCAGGTGGGCTGTCGGTGTGAAAGGTTCTGGCGACTTCATCGATATCTACACCAACTTCTCTCATTCTCTTCAAAAGTTGGGTAAGAAACACTGCTTCGGATGTGGACCTTGTCCAAACAATTCCTTGGTATCGGCCTTCACTAAGGAGGCGAAAGGAGAACTCAGAAAGACCACGGTGGCTGAGTTCCCATGCTCGAATGTCTTCTACGGGCCTACCGGCCAACGAATTCTTTCGTGACCATTCCGTAGGCTGAACATGACGAAACAGCTGATGCGACCCTTTGCCGACTGGTTGCCGATCAAAGAACTTGTCGTCGGATTGAAAGTGGTCAGACAACTTAGGCTTGGGAGCTGGAACATTCTCAGGCACGGCCGGCTTGGTAGTGGCTGCCCAAGGTTGATCTTGCTCATCCCAAGACGATTGCGAATGCCAACGCCAAGACGACGAAGGTTCCCATTCCGACTGTTTCCACCATGAGCTGGACATGATGGAGGGATGTTGGCTAGCTTCTCAACGGAGACTTGAACCTGACTGGCCTCACAAAGGCTTATGGGGAGGATAAATTGTAAAAAACGCAGCCAGAACGGAGTTCCGAGCCTTTCGAATCTCAAGCCTGACGGGCGCGTGATTCACGCAGCTTTCCTGTCGGGTTGGACTGTTTCAGAGTCCCAAGCATAAAGACAGAGCCTGAACCTTTCAGATTGGAGGTCTTAAGGCCTTTTCTGAACCGATCAGGGTTCAACACAGTAGGCAACCCTACCGTAGACGGCACGTTGAACGAGAAACCGTCTAGAGCACACTCATGCAATCCTCCCTCTGGTCACTTGATGTTTCAGAGGTGAAGACTTCAAGGCAGAGCCTGCATGAACCCCACGTGAGTTCACTCTAGATAAAGTTACGAAACAATGATGTTGCACAGCTTCCTAAACATCACAACCAGCACTTTATATCTTGTTGGAAGGCAGGTACAGGTGGTTGATCAGACCACCCATCCCCCAATGCACCGTAGCTTCGTTGCGTCAGGTAGGTGCATTGGGCCTGACGCCCCTGCGCATTCAAAATGAAAAGGTGAGAAGCTGAAAAGCACAACGGAGGCAGCTGCATTACGACCTTGGTAACAGGCTTTCCCCACACACACACACACACACACACGGAGACAGAGACAGACAGACAGACGGACAGACGGACAGACGGACAGACGGACGGACGGACAGACGGACAGACTGACAGACTAACAGCCTGACAGACTGACAGACTGGCAGACAGACAGACTGACAGACTGACAGACTGGCAAACACACACATGTTTACACTTTTTTGCGCTTGTAACTATCCTGATCGAGCACTCATACCATCACCAGCTCAGGCCATCACACAAGCACGAAAGCAGGCATCACTTCTTCAACTTACACGGTGCTTATACGCAGACATAATCAGAAATACACAGAAGTACTGCTATCCCAAGCACATGCAGGGACCAAGCAGCCCTGATGCAAGTTGATTGTCGTGTACCGCGCAGTTCCGGTCATCCCACTCTTTTTGACGAAGGAGATGTGTTTGCCAGTATCTGGATCCCGATAGCCTGAGTGGGTCTTCATGACATCTCGATCTCCTTTTTGCATCTCGATCGCCTTCCTTCCTTCATCTTGCTAGCACAAATAATCCTCTCGGCAAAAAGCACCACTTGTGCCGCGACAAGTGGCGTTTTGCCAAGCCGAAGTCCACGATGTACACCTGAAGCCGTGCCCCTTCATGTTGGACTGCCAACACATTACCGACCCAAATCAAGACAAACACAGATGCCTTGTCGTCTTGCCCATCCCCTGAACCAATCACGAAATTGCTCGGCTTGATGTCCTCAGCTTCATGCGGCCACCGAAGGCAAGCTGTGAGACGCATGCCTGCGAACGAAGCCTTTCTGCAACTCACGTCATGCTGCCCAGCATCCCGATGTATGATCTTGCGGGAATGAACAAACTCCTTGGCAGTTACTTCAATCATCAAACCGGCAGCGTGAGCACCACAGCACCCGGAACACAACGCACGAAGTCCGAACGTCCAGCCCTGCCGAAGAAATGGTAAAGATCTTGAACCAGGCGCAGGAGAGTACGAAAACCGCCAAGTTTCAATACAATTGATCATTTGCTCACCAAGCATGAGCACCGTCTTCAAGGTAAACTTCCTCCACGAGGCACGTGCAAGACGAGAGGGGCAAGGCATGCTTGCCAAATCTTGCCAAAATAGCTGTCAAGCCTTACTGTTAGACGATGCCAGTCCTGCGGCAGGTTTTCATGAAGATGTCTTCCAATGAAGGGCCCAACAGGCCCATGGCCTCAGCGCTTTGCAGCGTCAGGCATGTGGAGAGATGTGGAGAGATGTGGAGAGATGAAATTTGGAGAGCTGTGGAGAGATGTGGAGAAATGTGGAGAGCCTAGGCCCAGGTATCGCGCCATGATGTTGTACTCGCCCTGGCTTCCACACCAATGCACCGTGGTGGTGCGCTGGCTCTCTGGACCTTGGGTTGCAAAGCTGTGGGAGATGAGACCAGGAACTGCTGTCCTCGTCTGTCCTCCACCATCCCGTCTCAGGAGGATGCCGAAAACTTGACAGAGCTCAGCCTGCAAACAAAGCGAGCCCAACATGACAAGCGTGTGAGGAGCAAAGCTTCCGTAGAACTGAACGCATATCAGTGTCTGGATTATGCATGGTTGCGCCGATTTCGGCTCCTACATCAACTTCGGCATGGCGCCTCTTTGAGGAGCCTCAGCGACACTTTGCAACTCAATAATAGTGATTGCAAGACGGGGGCCCTTGCTAATCTTGCAAGGGCCTTCATGCCTCCTTCCTTCCAGAGCAGCCTGGGCACTTGTCAGTCTTCTCCGCTTTTGTCCACTCGAACCTTATTTGCCAAGCCGGCTCATTTCGGCCGCGAGGGCAACGCGCATTTAATGCGGCACAAGGGACTTCAAGGCCACATGACGATGTGTTGCACGGTCCCAGCCCATACGCACCACGCTGTACGAGCCGCTGCCCAGTTTGCCTTAAACTTAAGACCATGCAAGACATCCAGCAAGCAGAAGGAACCCCCGGAGCAAGCATGGCGGCCAGGGAATGCAGCCAAAGGGCGTGAAACGTCAAAGCGGTCAGCAACAACCTGCAAGTCTCATGCAAAGGAGGTCCGCAGTCAACTTTGGATGGTGTTTCAAGTTCTGTAGCCTGCGTTGTTAGAGGAACTCCTCTATTTCCGAAGGCGCTTCTGCCTCCTTCGCCTTCATAAAATGTCTAAAGCTCTCCCTTTCTAGAAAAATCCGAATGTTTTCATTCTTCAAGTAGGAATCCTCTAATGTTCTCGGTTCCTCTACTTTTTCGGAGTTGCACATGCAAACCTCGGTGTTCTCCATTTCTTGGGAGGCAAGGTCATTTCTGAAGGCAGCACCTCTCTTTGTCGAGGAACTGAAAAAACTCTTCTATAGCATACTATGTACAGTATATCGTGGAATCTAAATAGCATGAAAAGACAAACAGAGAGAGAGAGAGAGAGAGAGAGAGAGAGAGAGAGAGAGCGAAACAATGTGATACAATAGTATGTGTCTGTAATAGGTCTAGTGTGTACATAAATACATCTTCGTATACTTACATATACACGTGCCTTGAGTGCCCTGAAATTTGTCAGCAATGTCAGCACTACCGTGCATATTGCGTACCCTCCCTTTTCTCCCATCACGTCTCTTTCCGTAACATAGGCTAGATGGGATCGCCGCTCTAGCAGGTTCCCGGACATCCCCAGTAGCAACGCCACCCAAAGCACCCACAGAAAGTTAAATGCCGCCACGACGGCGGCCAAATGCAAAGCCCAGAGCTGCTGAGGAAAGCGAGCGTGTGAGCATCGCAACCCGTTCCACCGCCACCACTGCTCTCTCCAGACCATGCGTGGCTGATCGAGCCGGACCGATTGCTTCAAAAGGAATCCATTCGAACCATTCGAAAAAGAACGATTTGCAACAGCAGTGATTTTTTGGGTCAACTCTGAGTCAACTCCCAAAGTTTGAAACGGCATCGTGGGACATTCATAAATGACATGTTGCACCCAAGCCGGCCAAACTCAACACACATAGATTTTACACAAACACAGCATATGAATGGAGTACATGTAGTTGGCCAGTTGTGTCCAAGAGACCAGAGAAGCAGGAGACCAGAGCACGAGGGTTCCGGGAAATTGAAAGAACCCCACAGAGGCAAAATCCGAGGGCAATTGCATTCCAATGAGAAGCTGCTTTCTCGGCATGTGACAATACAGCTTTATCATGGCCCCTGCGTGATAAGCACAAGATACGCGCACAAGCCTCGGGCACGCGAGGGCGACCGTCGGACTCATCACCTTGCTGAATGGAAGTTCTACTTCAGTCACATGAGCCTGATGGCAACCCAGTAGCCCGCACCCTCCATGACAAAAAAGAAAATCCGGGAACGACTTGGAAAGATGACACCTTCAAGGTGTGTCGTTAAGACTGAAGACTATGGAACCCTTCCAGTTTCGAAAGCCAGTTGCTGGATAAAGGCTCTTTGTCAGCCAGCTTTCTCTCCTTGGATCTGAGAACCCTCGCAGCCTGTAGGTTCATCTAAGAACACATCTTTTGCTGCCGAGGCAGAAGCAAGCAATCACACCGGCACTGGAGAAAGGAAGGGTCAGTACCATCATCTCAAATGCAGCTACGGATCGAATGTCATTCTGCCATCCGGAAAACGCATCAGGAATCCCATATTCCTACAGCTAAGATGGCCCCGACTCGAGAAGCCCGCGGCTCCCAAGAAATATGTCCGTAGTTCTAGTTGCACTAGTTACTAGTTGCTTCCTCAAAAGCCGTGACCTGACCGCCCGTCTGTAAAATGCCGTCACCATCTGTGCCCGGGCTTTACACTCAAGCGCTGTGTGTGTGTACTTTGTCAAGAGCATGGTCTACATACATTGTCGACTGGTCGACAGTATATCCTGCGCCTTTGCCGACCCATCAGTCATGGAGCAAAACCTACACGGCAGCGGCATGGTGGCGCTTGCGAGGCATGTCCAAACAGGCTTCGATTGACTTGGCACACTGTGGGCTACCAGCTTGTACAAGCTCTCTTCGGCTTGATCAACCATTGGCTCGCTTGTGCGAGGCGGATACGGCAGCTTCACGATTTAGTCGGTGAAGCTTTAGCAGGAAAGCCCTGCAGCAGAAGTCTGACCAATCTTTGGCACGATTCTGACACTGCTTACGCATCAAAGACAGTGGCCAGTGTTGATTGTTTCTGCTTCTGCTTGTTGCAGGAACCAAAGTTGTAATCACCGGACGTGATCTCTCCCTGTGCAAGTAGTGCTGTCCACCAAAGCTGCAAAACGGGAACTGAGAGGTGCAGTACAGTCGACAAGCTACACGCAGCTACACAGCACTGCCGGCACAGGCTTTGTGCTCTGCAAAATTGAGTGGCCCAACCGACCGTATCAAAGTAAAAATCCAAGGCCTCACCATGAGGAAAGCATCAAACCAGGGTCATGCACAAAATCCCTCCAGTAGCATCGCAAGCAAACCGTGCGGATTCCACCACATAGGCCAAGGGAAAACTTTGCAAAATCAGAATTCGTTCTGCGAATAAGACTTCCGACAAATTGGGCCGGAACCGTCCGCTCATGAACAAGCCGTCAGCTGATAGCCTTCACAAGCAACGGTGTAGTGCTTGGGCAATCCATTGACTGCTACTCCCCCGACCTCATGCTCATCCACTCTCTGACTGCACAGTTTGCCGTGGCACTTGCCGCGGGCTTTGGTCTGCTGCGCTTCACACACACTTGCCTGCTGTGTGTGTGTGTGCTTGTTCTTGCCTGGCAGCGGCAAAGGCTTACACATATTGGCCCCAACAACACACTGCTTTGGCGTGTCTTAGGCCTCTGCAGCACGAGCTTTGGCTCAGCTAGGCGATAGTTCTTTTTCTATAAGACTGACTGTAGTGCAAGACTTCGTGTCGACTCAGTTACTCTATTCAGTGCACAGGTGTTGTCATGGCATCTTGCTAACTGTCTTGCTGTGCTTGAATTTAAAGTCTGGGATCGAGAAAGGTTGGCGCGGAAAACATGGGCTTTTTGTTCGACTCTCATGAATGCCAAATCTCCTCCCCTCAAAGCGAACCGAGATTTCTGACCTACAGCAAAACCCAGCTCTTGTTGCACGACAAACCGTTCATGCGCTCTTCGACCATGGCATCTTGCAAGTTCCCTACGAGGCTCTATTGCTCATTGTTCGCTCCCGCTCGCTGCTGCTCTCTCCTGCTCTCTTCCTCTTCCCTGCCCTTGCCACAGTTTGCAAGCACTGCCCACGCCTCGGGATCACTCGCTCCGTTGGCGCTTGGCCTCCATCAGAAGCACCACGCAGGGAGGTTCCCAGTTGCCCTAGAAAGCTCACACAGCCCGACCTCCGTCTGAGAGCTGCCAACCTGTCCAAGCAATCGGCCAAGAGTCTCGAGGTTTCATGCTTGCGCTGCGACACAATCTGTTATGCGGCACAGTGCTTCCGGCTGCACCAATGCATAATTCACCTGCTGCCGTGCCAGTGTGCGTATCCGAGTCTGCGGCACTCGGCAAGGAGCCACCAACTCCTGATTCGAACACCTGGTCCAGCGTAGAATGGCTTTTGCCTGGCTTTGCATTGCTGGTCCCAGGCCTCGAGTACCTCTGAGGGCCGTCTTCGGGCCGGCCTGCGAACGAAACATGCAGGAAGCTCAACTGCCTGAGCCACATCCCGTACCATACGGCATGGCACCGCCCAGAGCTGCAGGATGCTGCAGGGACGACACAGCTCTGAGCATAAGTTCCATTGGGGGAGAGAACCTGTTTTCTGACCGGCACTCGAAGGCCTGAGCGCAGGCGGCATTCGGGGCTTATCTGTCGCATGGAAGAGCCCAAAAAAACGCAATGACCTAGACATAAGCTACCCCCCGGACGGAGTCTGACAGGAGGTGTGGTAGCGCCGGTGGGAATTGGAAGTGGCCGTCACTGAGCCACTCTCGCTTTGCATCTCGTGGGTTTCCTGACTCCTCCATACTCCTCCTTCGTTCTCTCTTATTTTCATTTATTTTCTCTTCAGCTTCAGGAGGCAAGAGCTTCCCAGGCAAAAGCCGGCGAAGTGCCGGCGAAGCCGCTCAGCAAAAATAAGCACTCCCTGTCGCTCCTTGAAAAATATCTCACGAATTTTGACATTCTTCACCAGACACATGTCTACGATGTCATCTGATTTGTTGCTCATAAATTCATTTTGTTCTTGCTGCGCAAATCCTTGCGCCCACATAACTGGTCTGATCCGCTCCCCAAGCAACGACTGCGGTTTGGCTCACTCCCGCAGCTGTTTTGCCACCGTAGTCATGCATTGCCGTACCTTGTGCTGGGGGCCTGCAACGTCTAGTCGCCTAACCTGATGCCCGCAGTTATCTGCCGTTGTCAATGAAATGCGAGGTTCTCGCTGTTGCGGCTGTTGCTGACTTGCCTGCATCCTCACCGCCAGCAGAGCCATCGTACGACTGGGGAGCTGTCGACGCGTGCACGCCGCCTCCATAGTTGTGTGCTCCCACGTTTTCTGGATTCTGACCGAGCTTAGGCTTGCCAACAGGGAGTTCCTTGAGCCAACAAGCCCCTTACAAGCGGCAGCAACTACTTTGTGATGCATCTGCGCATGCAAGGCGTGACAAATGTGCACACATCGGCCTTGCCTGAAGTGAGACTCATAGTCTGTGCCCTCCTCCGCGGCGCTCGCCGCCGCAGGGTCCCGGGCTTCGCACGTTGCGAAAATCCTGGCCCCCCAAAACACTCCAACCGTTTGCTTGGGGCACTGCACGGCTTTTGTTGCTCAACGCTGAGCTCTTTCTGCGAATGTCATGGCATGCAAACTGTGCAAGCTGCACAGAGCTGTGCTCCCTCCCTGGCAGAAAAAACCACCCTGTGCGCCTCATGCAAGGGAAGGTCCATACGGATTTTCCTGCAGCAAGGTCTTGCCCCACAAGCGCTCAGGGCATGCAGCATAACATGCACAGGTCTGCTTAGAGACCCTTGGCACCAAAGTCACCAAACTTCGATTCCCCTGTGCCAACCCGAGCCGTCCAATCCTGCAGATGCAATCTCGCGCCTCGGCCGTCATCAACCGCGCCCCCAAGCTGCCCTAGCACCTCGAACTGCGGGTCTGCCGAAGTGATGAAGGCAATCCTCCGCAACTTTCATTGCAAGCAGCACTTGATGACTGCTGGACAGAAAAATGACAAGCCCAGCTTATGTCTAAGAGACATTTGCCTTGTGCAGGCGCCCTTGTCCTTGTAAAGGTTCGCAAGAAGAAGAAAAGAATGATGCACCTGTGCTGATCTAGCGGCTAGCGCGACTAGCGAGATCAGATGCTGGAGTGCAGAAACTGCGCGACAAGTCGTCAGGCAGCTGCAGCCATTCCACAGCTGATATTGCAAAAGAGGGGCAGCAAGAAGGCCAGACTTCTCTTGCAGATCTCCTGAAGCGCTCTCTTGAACAAGCAGTGGACTGAACGAATACATGTTTCAAGCAATGCAACCTCGCAAGAAGACCCAACGCCCTGTAGAATCCAAGGGCGCTGCCTATCCTAATTGCCCCTTGTTGGCAGAAACGGTCGGACATCGGGGCTCTGGAATCCAGCTACAAGTTACTGCGGAGTGTCCAGCAGCCATCCCACCAAGCTTCGCTGCAGATTTCCTGCAAGCGGATAGAAGCAAACGTGGAGTCTTTCTGATCCTCATACCCTTTTGGTGCGCCAATACCGCTCCCAGACAGCCGTCCTAAGAGTAAGCAGGTGTTGATTCAGTCAAAGTGATGGTAAAGACAATGAGCGCGAGCTGATAAACATGGTGGTGGAGTTTTCCAGTGCAGCTTCCCAACAAATGACAACATTCAGGGGCGGAAAAGGTGAAGCACTCAATCATCCTCGGATGCGCATGGAAAACATTCTGTACTCATTTTGCTACAATCACAAGTATCACCCTCTTCGGGAAGAATTTCACTTTCACGCGCTCCTTCCGCCAAAGCCTTCTGCAACACGCACTCGTCAAAGTCTCTTGCGAAATTGCTTGTCCGCAACCTCAGTCTGGCATCAGCCAATATCTGCCAATATGATTGGCCGACTTTATTGCTCACGCTTTTGACTGGTCTGTCCAGCCCAAAAATCCACCCCTCTAGCAGATCGCAGCTCCCATTGCTAATGCAGGTACCAAAGGCTATCCCCAGGATATGGCCACCTTCTGCGGTATTTGCAACCCCGCTAGCGCTTTCAAGCGCTTTCAAGCCTCAAGCGCAAGCGCCAAAAGGACGCCTGAGGCTTTCATGGCTTTCTGAGTCCTAACAGGATTGCTAGACAACCTGCTCAAGCCCTAGCTTGGTCCAGGTAATTCCGTGGACGCCTTTGCTCGCAGCGCTACATGATTTCAGGCTGACTGCTTCCAAAGCAATCGGCTATCTTCTGTACAGGAATGTAGGGGAATTTCAGGGTATCGCATGGCATCACTGTCACATGTTCTCAGTGGCCCTTTCCATGTCGGGCCCAGCTAGTCTGCCATGACAAGTCACTTGTGGCCCATCTTGGCAAAGCCAGGAATGGCCTGGCCGTTCCAGTAGGCTCAAAGACTGAAAAATTCTGACTTGGCTTAAACAGGCCGAATATTTCACCACGGCTGATGTGTTTGGAGGCTCTAAGCCCAGACATTTGCCTTGCAATGCCTGCGCGTTCTCCAAAGTCCAAAGGCAGTTCCACAGTGTCGGGCTTGAGTCGCATCGTGTTCTTTGTTTTGCACTACTTGGAGATTCCTGTTCGCTGCTTTTTCGGACTAGTGAGGCCTGTCTGTTTCAAACTGCCTCTACCTTGGGGTCTGGGCTACGCCTCTTCTTTTGATTGCTATTATTTTCAGCTACTGCAAGGATCCGAGGATGCAGAGGTCCGAGGATGAAGGCTCCCATCTCTTCTTGCCAGTGCTGCGTACAAGGTGGGAAGGGGCCCAGATGCCTTAATTTAACGTCGCCCGAGATGGACGGGCGTGATCCTTTCAACGCTCAAAAGCATTCCAGAAGCACTCTCCAAGAGCCAAGACCACTCCGACAGCACTCCAACAGAAGAACGACTCCCAAACCGCACGGGAAGCATCCGCCTGGCAATTGGAGCAAATGTCATGAAGGATACAGTCGGATACAGGGGTTCTGGCACACTCCGCAGCTGGACCAGATTGACCTTTTCTGAGGTTGCCTTAGAAAAACGACATTGTTTTCAGCTAGCTTTTGGCGTTGAGGAGGCGGCTAGGCAAGCCTGTGTTTTCTACGGCCACAAGAGAATCCGTGGCCAAACAGACCATTTCCTGCGTTCTGAGATTACCCTTGTTTCCTCTTGGCTGGTCTGGACGTGCAATTCAGCAACGAGTGCATTTTTGAATGAGAGCTTCTGTTGCAGAGCATCTACTTAAGTCACCTCCACTTGGGGGATGGCTAGTCTGGACGTGCCACTTGGAATTGAAGTGTCTCTTTCATCTGTGCTTCCGCAGAGCGTCTACTTGGGGAACATGGTTGACATGTTTCCGGTGATTGGAACATGTCACGACCACGTGGTAGCAGCGCGTTTCAAAATAGAATCTGAGCAGGACGCCAGGAGTACTGTGAAGCTCATGCCGACCCTGTGTCACATCACATCCCTACGCCCGGTCCATCAGCAAACATGAACACCGACTTTTGCAAAGGGCGTATCACGGAATATAATCGAACAGCCACTGCCCGACCTTGTTGTCTTGTGGAACATGCGCGGGCGACCCCTCCGCTACATGACTTGAACCTTTTCACCTGGCCTTGTTGAGGGATGTAGCGTCTAAGCCTCGCTGCACAATGAGCTGTAGCTTGGCACGCGCTGCTTCAGCCTCCGGGCATGAGCTGAAAAGGCTTAACGTAGGGCTTGAAGAAACATCGGCTGCGCTATCTTGAATCTTAGCCTTGCAAAAAGGAAACAGCCACAAGCCTTGCACAGCTACAGCATACCCCGATGCAGATGCACACAAGTGCCGACCAGGGGGCATCATCGAAGTCCACTAGCCAGGAGTTCTCCCCATCCCTGACAAACCTTAGCCACGGAGAGCTGCGCATCTGTGCCCCATGAGGCGAAAAGTGAATATAGAGATGCTTCAGGAAAATGATGAGGGCCGTTTTAAAACGCTCCAGGGCTAAGGCTCCAGGTGGCCCTGGGCTGGCTGCAAAGCGCAAGGCGTGCCCGAGCAAAGCGCCTGAAAGCACACAAGGGGGTCCGGGACGTCTAAGAGTCCACTTCCACCAACTTAACGGCTCCCGTACATTGAGAGCCACAGCGAATCAAAGGACTGTCAGCCAGTGAGTAGTCGCCACAAAGGAAACTTGCCTCAATCACGGTGTTGCCCAGCGTTTCAAAATTGGAAGCTGAAACGAAAAGGTCGCTGGCCGCGTACGCGGCACCTTGGGTAAAGCTTGCTTGAGTGGACGCAACTGGACATCGCTGAGGCCGAAAGGTCTTGCTCTCTTGATCTTGATTCTGCAGGCAATGAGTGGAGGACGCAGCTCCTTGCCATTTAGCATCTTCCGCAACGGCAGCACATTTGGCCAGCCTGCTCCAACGGCTCAAGAGGAAACACTTTCGAATCGAAGGACGTCGCAGTGACCGCACGTTGTGCGCTTGCCTGATGTCGGGGCACCCATCACAGTCTGGCAGTAGCCGGAAGTTCCATCGCCCACGATAACCAAGGCGCAGTCCTTCTCAAGACAATATGGAAAGCGTTTGAACTCCTATCAGATCACACGACTTGATGATGGACTTGTGCCTTAGTCGTGCTGTCCTTCGGCAGTGCCTCCCACAACAAATGGATTCGCTTTTCAGCAGACCATCGGCCTGCAGACCTCGTCCAAGGTGTCACGACGCAGATGTCTTCTGTCCACTCTCGTGTGACTGCCATTGTCCGGCTGTTGAAAGGTAACTGTCTAGTGTGCAGCCAGAGAGCAGAAATATTGCCCGAGGCTCCTTGGCATCCCACATCTTCCCACTAGAATGTCACGCAGCAAATTTAAAGTGCACAACATAAAGCCGTTTCGCCGCCCTCATCGCAATTCCTACAAGATGCGGCCATATTTTTGAGAGGCGCTACGAGTACAAGGCCAAGAGATGGTGGCAAATGAGGCTAGCAAGGTATACCCTTCAATAGATATAGATAGATGTCCCTCTCTGCGACATGCCTTGCTTTCTCTAAGCATTGGCTTAAGGCCCCAAGGTGAGAAAAACTGAATCAGTCACAACCGTACAGAAAAAGAGACCATGCACTTGATTACTCTACTGCACTCGCACGAAATGCAGGAAGCCAAGACTCTTGGCAACCCTGCGCGCGCAGTTTCGCCAACCACTCTGAGCGCAAAGCCTGCGCCTGTAACTCATGCACGATTGTCTCCCCTAACACCTGCCTGTACTTCATTCGCGTCATCAAGTGGCAACTCCACCTTTGCATTCAAGCAGCAGCGCCTGGTCCGTCCACTCTGATGGGTCTGCTTTGAACTCCTGGCATTGAGCTGCAGGCTTCCGATGGCCAATGTTTGGGATGCAGACCAGCACGTCATGTCACACTCTGTTCTCCGTCCTCTGACCAAAGGATAGGAGGCCAAATGGCTTTGATGGGAATCCCATACCTTCAGTCTAGTGGACGCCACAATCAGCGTGACCAGGTTTCACCAGCGGTCCATGATTCAACACTGGATCACCATGAACAGTTTCCGCGTAGGATCTCTGTCTGTGGCCAGGTACGTCTTGCCCATCTGCGCACCGAAAACTCTGGATACAGTCGCGTGGACGCTTGCCAGCCTCTGTTGCGTGGGCAGGAGACAGCAGGAATGAGTGAGCACTGAGGCTGGTGTGGAGGCATGCTTGTGCATGGCAGCTTGGTTGGACATGTTGCTCTACCTACCCGTACAGCCAGCGTGAACATGTGTGAACCAGGAACAGGAGTGCCGGCACCCAGTTTCGGACTCATGGGGCTGTCAGGTGGCTAAGAGGATGAACAACTTCAATAAGCTTGCCGTTACAACCGGCGAATGGGCTCGCATGACGGGTTCGGAAGGGATTCATACGGGTGCTCAAAGCCACTCCTCGCGATGGCACGATGCAAGTTTTGCTTTTTTCAAAAGTTAGGGGATTGGGGAGGGCACTTGGCCCTTGGCTCCATGCTCCTTTCCTCCCTTCCTCCGGAGAATCTGATCTTGGGACCCGCTGCATAGCCATCGCATTACAGGCATTCTGTGAGAATAACACGTCCCAGTCCAAATTATGGGAATAGTTGGACTCCTGAGCAACCAACGCCAATAACCCACATTCGTCCTTTCCTCCTTCATATCCTTAGCAATCTGTTTGATCCTGGTCATGCTGTTGATCCCCATGCTCTTCAGTCAGGGCAGCCAAATACAGCCAACTCATCGACCGCAACCCCAAAGCAGCCTGGTGCTCAGCATGTGGATCTTCCACACCAGCTTCACCACCCCCTTGTAGGCCTCGCTCGCACAGGTGTGGTAGCACGCAGGAGTGCAGAACAGCGGCCTTCATGTGCGTGATGTCTGTGTGCGACGAGACCTGAGCTGCTACACGATCTCATCGACTTCTTCCGCACTCTGCAATTCTGCATCCCAATTCGCCTTCTACCATGATCTGCCCCCAAGGCACGACTGTTGGGATGCCTAGCGCCCGCGTGAGCAGAAGAAGCTCAAGACGCCAAGGGACCTCAAGGCGAACGAATGAACCAACCCGTCTCTGGATGCCCATGCCAATCATGCCCATGGGGGTCTCACTTGTGGCTGCAGTTTACTTTTCCCTTCGTACTGGACCATATTGGACCGGTTTGCTCTTGCACTGTGAGGCAAGCTGGAAATAAGTGAACCCAGGAGGCAGGAGCCTTTCGAACCCCAAGCCCCCGGCATCTCTACCCTGGCAAAGAACGGAGGATAAATGCGGCAACACACGAAACATTTGCGATGGTGGTGGTGATGGTGAGTGAAAGGATTCTCCTTTGATGTCCTTTGCCAGTGCGCAAGGCCTCAGGCCTCGGCCAAGGAAGGCTGAAAGGCTGAAGGCAGCCGAGAACTCACTCCGGCACTTCGTCGGCGGTGTCTGCCATGAAGTCTGCGGCGCGGCTCATGCCCACATTGTCCTCTGGGAGGGCCTCGATCAAGCCATCCTTGTTCCGCACGAGCAATGGAGACTTCTCGTCTTGCACCATGTTTGGCAGGTCTTCCACCTGCAAGTTCTCACCGACCTGCTTGTAGCCGTCAGTTGTCAAGCGGGTCACGTTCTCTCCTTGTTGCGCAAGCTGCTCCACATCCCAAATGCCAACATCCAGCAGCCCGGTCTTGTCTGCCAACAGGTGCCGACTTCCACATCCAGGGCACGTCGCAATGACGATCCCTTGCTGGTATGCAAGCCTGGAGATCATGTGCGAGTTTCGCGTCTCGCAGATCTTGCAAGTGAAAAGAATTTGGAATTTCCGTGGAGCCACTCTGGCAAAGGGTATTGGGCCCGTCGTCTGTCCCTCAGTGTTCCCATTGTTCCCCTGGCTCTCCGAGGCCTGCGCGGCTCCCAAGAGTTTGGGGGGCTCCTCGGCCGCATCCTTCGGAGGCACAAGCGCAAAAGTTGGAAGCCACGATGAGCCCACCACTAGCGCTGCCAGCAATGCGGCCACTAGGGCATAGCTGCAGCAAGAAGCTCGAATGCGTCGCCGATCATTGACATGGCTGCGCATGGTGCTGAGACACAGGGCTGTCCCCTTCATTGCAAATCCGCCGGTGCTAGCTGGGAAAGAAGTGCCGTGGGGTTTGCGAATGGCTTTGGCAATTAAAGTCTGCTGGGTGGTTCTCAATCATGGCCTCTCATAAGCTGGGAGGGCCTACACATTGCCTACAGCTTCCAAAGCCTTGTGCGGCATCGACACGCAGAGCAGCAAACCCAAGCAGCCCTGGCAGCTGACAGTGCCCGAGCCTTTCTTCTGCTCATGCCACCGGCTCTCCTACTAAAGTGTGAGTCTATATGTATATTATCGATACATATCGCACACCCCCATCCCAACGAACCCCGCGTCTGGCAGGGCTGTTGCCTGTGTGTTCTTTTTGGCTTGTGGAATAATTTGCACTTCTAGCTTCATTGCATGCAACTAGTTGCTTGGAAAAAGCCCGTGACCTCTGCAGGCTTTCAACAGACACATAGCACATCATAGCACTCCAAGTGGAGTGCATCTCGCTTGGAAGGGCAAGTATATCACGGACTCTGTGGATGCATTGGGGAAGCTGTTCAGGCCGGCACATCATCTAAAAAGAGGCAGTCGTAGCCTCCGCGGATCATCGTTTCCCTGCCATGGCGTGCCACCAACTGCAAAGCTTGCAGGTTTTACAGTCAAGGCAAAAATGCGGATTGCCTGAGCAGCGCCGCGGCATTGGCGTAGGAGAAGAGATCCTCGCAAAGTATGTTAAATGGTGCACAGCTTGCCTGCCCATCCTTTCGCCTCTAGACTCCAAATCAGGTGCCACATGTGCTTGCTGGCAAGCCGCTAAAAAGACTGCCACGCCGTCTGTGGAGGAGCGGACTCGAACCTGAGCTTCGAACTTCTGATGCTTCATGCCGGATGAGAGTGGCTTGAGGCGCTCGCTCCACGAGCCGGCAGATGAACAAGCTTGCCTTTCGATGTGCAACAAACTGCAACAGGCAACACAGGGGCTTTTGCCGGGCTGGTACAAGATGAGCAAACACTACTCGAGCTCGCAGGATGAACCTGCGGCTTCCCCTCGGCTGACCTTCTGCAAGCCATCTTTGAATGTCCTTCTCGCTACTCCTGGTGCAGTCCACCGGCGTCATGAGGGTGACCTGCCAACCTCGGGGACTAAGCTCAGGGACTAAGCTCAGGCACTTGCGAGTACCACCCAGCCAGGGCTGAGGGAACTTGCGCAAGCGATCAAAAACGGGCGCAACACGACAGATCCGACCTAGACTTTTTCACTGTTTTCGGGCATTTATCAAGAAGTGTCTAAGGCACCGGCCCAAGCCATCGATGAGCGCACGACACAGCGTAAAGTAGCGCTTGGAGACCCCACCTGTGGACCATCCAAGCAGCTGTGGCTCACAATGTGTAGCCGTAGCCGATCACGTCAGCTACATATATCAGCAAGAAGAGGGATACATCTGCTGGAACTATTGTGAGGCGCTCCTCCACTCTAGCAAAACTCCGTGATCTCGCAATTGCTCGCAGGAACAACAAGGGCACTGCGACATCTGCGACCTGCCTGCATTCTTCAGCAGTGGTGGAAAGCACTGCACAACCACAAGGGCTTTCATCGCCCTGCCGAGTCAGAAGGCGCTGAGTGGCTACCCTTGGCGTGTCCAGATGTACTCATTTCATGTACTCATTGCATGCTATTTCATAAATGAGGGGCTCCGGATGGAAAATGATCCCGCCTAGCTGGCACAGCTCTGGCCAAGCCAGCTCAAGCTAGATCCACGAGCCAACATTTGAGTCATGGAGGGATTGAGGGATGGAGGGATGGAGGGATGAGCCCTTCCGAGTCGGGAACTCTTCGACATGACCACTTGACGGGGTGTCTGCTTCTCATCTTGCTTTTCTTGTTTTTTTTCGCGCTCATATGAAGGATAGCACAGCTGCGGCGACAGCTCAAGGTGTGTCTCGTCATCGGTTGATCCATGCAGACGGCTGCTGATAATCGGGCTTGCCATGTGACGATACTGTGCGCCTGAAAGCAGATCAACCGTGCAGAGATGCCGTGGCTGCTTGAGCTAGTACGGACGAATTGCCCGCAAAATGCAATGAACAAAGTTCATTGCCTGTGTACAGTTGACCCAGCTGTTGTACAAGCAGGCTGCCGCCAGACGATTTCCAGTGTCGAACTCCACTGTTGCGAATGAACCACCTGAAGCAGTTGACCTGTATGACTGTATTTAAGACTGTGATGTGTCAAGCGGGGCTAGAAAGCAGCTAGGCTAGGGTCAAGCTCGGCTGGTACTTCTGGCAACCTGGGCAGAGGGCTCTGCACGAAAGCAGCCTGGCGTCACATCGTGGCACACCGATCTGAAGAGGCTCCATATTTTTGGCTCTCGCAGCGCCCTGGGCAATGCTTGCTCTGAGAGCGTGAGGCAGAGGGAGTCTTTCATGTGCTTTCGAAGGAGAGCGCCTCTTTGCCATATGAACCTTACCCTAACGCGGAGAAAGTCTCTCTGCCTTTCACATTGCCGGGCAGCACGTAACGTACGCTATCCACCATCAGGACGGGCGAAGCCGCAGCTGTGCGAGCAGTCGAATCTCTCCATCCAACCACCAGCATCCAACAAGCGACTTACAGGTGCAACTTACTTTTGAGGCAGTTTGCACAGCCTTGCCCTTCGCCCATCCTCAAAATGCTGAAAATCTCCGGACTTCCGCGGGCTTCGAGGCGCAAAATCTTCCCAGAGCAAGTTACTCTGGTCGCCTCAGCAACTTTTTTGTGCTTTGTTGCCCCTTGCTAGAAGTTAATGTGAGACACGACTGCACCTGGCCCTTGACTACTGCTGTAGTGGGTCGCTATGGCCTGTTTACTCTGTCGTTGCTTGGCCTACGCATATGTTATTCCTGCCTGAGCGTGGCCAAGCCTTGTCGAGCAGCATCACGCAGAACATCAGATGCTGGGTTCGCAGAATATGTTGCGCGCGTTTATAAGACACAAGCTGTCCTCCGCGTCAAGGCAGCCCGCTAGCGCTGTGCTTGAGGACAAGCTATGATGCCCTTTGCCATATCAAAGGGGTGTGCTGAGATGCGACAGCCGAGCTTCGCTGCTGCCTTCTGGACCCCGTGTTGGAATCACAGTGGAGGCGTGGAGGGGATTTTAACGCATTTGGCTTTGGGTGAGACTACAGGATTTTCACGCCAGCCCATAGGTCTAGCAATCTCCGTCTTAGGTCTGAGCAGACCCACAGTACCGTTGCGCTGCTGCGTTGAGATCTGAATGGGCCGGCCACGCATGGCAACGCAGTTGCGCTTTCCATACAGCCACCAGCCCTGGCTGCAAGGTCTTGCTGTCTGATGTGCATTAAGAACTACTGAATCGGGAATTGTGAACATAATGGGCCAGTGGTGAGCGAGCGGATGGCGATCTTCGCCCGTACAGAGGACATGTGAAACACTCGTGCGACTGCCTGTTTTGGGCCTCATCCCACCGGCATCGGCACGAGACGATTTGGACATTACCATGAGACCAGTCCCAATGGAAAGAAAGCATTTATTCGGTCTCCAGGACGACCCAGGCCGAGGAGGCTCCGATGTAAACACACCATTGGAAGACCAGGAAGGCAGCACTCGCCAGCTGCCATCGGCCTTGAGCGAAGCACAGCCGACTTGGGTCCACCCATCGCCGTTGCTCAGCTCCAGACGTGGCCCGCCCAGCTCTCCACCAAAGGTGCGGCGGCGCAGGTACAGCAGCATAATCGCGCCTGGGAATCAAGGGTCAGAAAGCGGAATGGGGGGTTGACAAGGAGCTGGTTGCAATGGCTCATGCTCCCAGAACAACCTGAGGTGGCTGAGGCAGGCGCACAGGGCGTTGCATGAGAAGATTAAAAGGTTGAACCACAGGGAGCCTTGCGAGATCTTGCGAGTCCCGGCTGTCTGGGTCCCGGATGTCCCGGCGTGCTGCAGCTTAGGGTACACAATTCTGGGTGTTCATGTGTTCATGTGTTCATGGCTCTGCCTGCAGGGGTGACAAAGACTGCAGTTTGCAGGTTGTTGTAGTTCACGATCGAAGACCTGCAAAAAACATGCAGACGCTGGCAGAGGAAGAACTGCCATCATTCATGACAGCTCCAAAAAGCCCTAGAGCCTGATGTCATAGTACTTGCCGCCCTCCTGACAGGCAAGCATGTGGAAAGCCCGAACCGGCGAATCGTAGAATATCTTCGTCCTGCGTGGTTCAACAACAGTGATCACACTGGAGGTTGCCTTTTTCGGTTTTCTCTTAGACAGGAACTCGCCCTCGGCTTCCGGCCGACTAGACGCCCAAGCAGCCAGGATCTTCCAACCGAAGATTTGCTCTACCCTGCCCGAACCGCTTGGAGGAGCCGCAATCCAATGCCACGGGGGATCCAGGCTGCGGACCCCTCCTAGAGAGGCCACGCCCAAAAAAAAACCCACGAACCTCCCCCATCAAACCCCTTCCTGTGGGACGGACCGTTTGTGGACCCGGGACCCCATTCAAACCCCCCGTCTGTGGTGCTGCACCAAGATGACATAGAGCTTCTTGGCATTCCTTCGTCTGCACCCCGCGGTGGGCCCACCCGGCTACCCAGGCGGCATGCGCTAGATGCCGCTAGATTGGACCAGCAGGTTTGCATTGATTGGAACGACCGTACCCGCCCTGACAACTTGACCTGCCGATGGCTACTCCGTAGCCACTACTTGCTCGTGGTTCGGCTTCCAGGGCTTTCAGTGGGACAGGCTGTATGGCTTAGGTTTGTCTGGCCCTCTCGGCTTCAGGGCTCATTGTGCGGCGATGGAGCGGTGACTCTGACGCATTTAGGATCTGGGATGCCTGTCGTGAATTCTTGCTACAGCATCGCAGGGATAACGAGGCAATGGTCTGCTCGCCAACGGAATTCCACCGTCGAACCCCAATCAAAGCATACCCCAACCCACGCCAACAGCTAGGGTGTTTCTGCTGCTCACTGAACATGTGTTGCGTGTGATTGTCTTAAACTATTCTGCTTAGTCTTTTGACAGTCCGGGAGAACATATGTCCCACCTGCAGCTTCGCGAGCCAAGTTGAGAAGGTGGCTCCGCTTGTGCTAAGGGTCTGCCAGTAGATGGCACCGATGGTCCAAGGCCTCGTGCCGCGAGTGTCGCGAGACGAACGGACATCCGGCCCCCCGCACACCCTGTGCAGTACTCCAAAACTTTGGCTTTGAGAGGAGTTAACAGTACTAGTCATAGCCCACGCGGGTCAAATGCGAGTGTACTCCCTGGTCGCCTTTCTTCTGTTATATTTTTTTAGCCAACAATGACCTCCAAGCACGAGCGGCTCGTAAGGCCGCCATAATATGCGAATATACCGTTCAAAGCGAGCCCAGCAGTCAACATCCCAGTCACCTTTCGCGCTAGAACTCATGTTTTCACGATAGGGGTTTTCTACCTTTGACTCTAGGAAACCTATTCCATGTCGAATGGTCTTGTGTTTCTTCTTTCGTTAGGAGAAAGTTCCACTAACCCAACCGTACAATTTTCTATCTTTCAACGTTTGCCTTTATGAATGTACTGCACTTGGAAAACTGAAAGACATAATCTTCATATTCTAGAAGCAGCGTACGAACGCACCATCTTTAAAAGAAAATACGTGATCTCCCCAGTACATAAAGATGACAACCACAAACAGCTCCATCTGCGTTCATCCTGAGGAGTGGGCATCCCCAGACCCAGGAATACGTTGACGGAGTTGCTACCTGTGACCTCGGATTGGAACCAAAACTCGAGCATGCCACGAAAAGCGAGACCGGAACATGCCAAGCCCACGCTTCTTTATGTCTGCACCACACTTGCACTCACCCTCATTGCGATGATTCAGTTCTGGGAGTCTTACATTCCCAATGGAAGCATCTGCGTAGGGGTCCATGATCGCCGCCGTCTTGGAGGCAAAGGTGTCCTTGTCGGGCCGAGTCGAATCTCACATCGCCAACTACTAGAAGCAATAGAGATTGACATTTCCATCCTGCAAGAATTCTGGCAGCTTGGTACCTATCTTCAATTCAGAGCTGGGATGCGAAAAGACAGAAGGTTGAGAAGGCCCAAGTGCATCTTCGCTTGCTGTGTATTGTTTGCAGGTGCGCGGCGGGCAAGGAGGTCCCCAGAGCGACAAAAGTAATCGCCGTGATCTCCGGCCCGATGTTCCTCACGATCATGTGCGCTGCTCTCGACTCCGTGCAACAGCGTATGCAACCCCTGGATCTGATCTCAAGCGAGCAAACAGAATGCAGCGAAGCTGCAGCGTGCAGCCAACCAAGTTGGCCAGATCTCCGACCACTGCAGTAAGAATGGCCTCAAAGAAACCCCAAAGGCAAAGGCATCACACCAAGCACCAATCAGAAGCAGAAACTTGCAAAAAACTAAGAGCAATGATGCTGCGATTTTTTCGGCAGGGCACGATCATGCCAAGGGCCACAAAGAAGCAGCACCATCCTTAGATCAGTGGTACTTGATGTGCTGGACGTACGTGGCACATTCTCTCAATCTTTAGCCCGCTTAAGCCAGTTCTCGGAAAAATTCTGTATAGTGTCCATGCCTACCGCGTATATCCCTAAAACATCAAGACCTAATGCGGAGCCTTCGGACATTCTTTGTTGCTTTACTATTGGGGGTCCGAAACAAGTAGGCACAATTTGGCTGCGTGCGGGCTTGCTCAGGAAATCTAATCTAGCAGCGATGATCAGGTCACGGTGCGTGCACATAGCATTCAGAACCTCTCTTCGATGACATGAGTTTCTCTTCCGACGTCAAGAACTGGCAAAAATGTTGCGATAATACCTGTACGAGTAGTTAGGCAAGCACTCTGCCGATTTCCAGCTTCCCAATGGACAAGAAATTGAAACATGGCTACACATGGTTCCCGGTATCCCGAACATGGCGTCCTTCTTTTCTGCTACCCACCTTAGTTACCGGTATCCCGAACTCTTATGGCGAGGCACCGTTGCAGTAGTCTACCGGTGGTATGAACGCAAACGCCAGCTTCCAGGGCATGCCTGCGACGACCAGCTTGCATCTCTGGTGGACTCATCACATCTGAAGTCTGAAGTCCTGCCTATGAAGTGGATGGCCACATCCATGCAGGAACGTCCGCCATCCTCCTCCTCCTCGGTGCAAAGTTGCAGGGCGCAATTGCTAAAATGGTGAAGGGAACCGGCGAGCTGTCCGCCTACAGGTGCCAAAGCTGTTCGGTATGCGTGGCTGTAGATACACAACCTTGCCCCTCAACCCACTGACAGCGGAGGCTCATCATCGTCTCTGCTCATAAAGACGGCATCTCGAAACTGTTCCTGCTCACACTGAGCGCTCAGAGTGCGGATGAGTCAGGAAAATGAAGGGCCACACAAACTGTTCACACTTGCCGAACCTTCCAATTGGAGTAGCCGAGGGCGTGCTTGTTCCAGTTGATCTGGCTAGCCTCCATCATGTCTCTTAAGGAACAAGGCAGCCTTGTACCAGTCGGTCACATCAGTTCTCCACATCCTTAGAGCGCCAAGGAGCGATCCGGTCCAAGGCAGCCTTCCGCTCATCATCGGCTTTGATGACGACGTGGCAGATGCAGCCTCAACGCCAAGCCATCCAAGCCGGATCCCCTGCCGCAGCAATTATTATAATACATTTATAATACCATCGGACCTTCCGGTATCCAAGCAGCTCGTCGAGCCGCCATCCGTGGAGCGGTCGAACGTGGCGCCACCGCTCGGCTCCACCAGATAGACGTTGAAAGACGACGTGTCTCAGCGCAGCTGAATGGTCGGAGTTCGTAGGGAGATGCACACCCTGTGTTGGTCGCTATGCTTGCGACATGTTGAAAAATTGCAAGCATGAAGCATGATACTGCAGACTGCAACTAGTTGCGGTGAATCGCGAACAACACACCCGTCGACACAGGATGGGTTTGTCACTGTGCGCGTACCCGCACTTTGCCTTGCAGTCAGGTGCAGTCGTGACTATCCTGACATCCGCATTCCATATAATGCCGGCAGGGATCTTTCATACCGACCCTTGGGCTTGATGGTGATTTCGATGGTGGCGGTCTGAACCTTCGCTGGGGCTCTGTGTGAACGATGCATGAACGCTGCTTGCTTGGAACATGGATGTGACAGAAACAACGGGAGTTGTTCCAACTGGTAGATACAAATGGGATGCAGACTCGACATGCCTGCATCAAAATATGCATCAACTATCATCAACTGTAGGCCCTCGCTGACTGTTGTCTCTGCTATGTGGCTTGTGTCCATCTACGGCATTTAGAGCCTGAGCGTGAGCCACCAGCATTTACGCTGGAGGGTCCAAGACTTGAGCTCGACCGCTCAACCGACAGCACAGCACCAGGCACGGATTCACGGCAATGACATTTCAGAAAAACATGGTGGCTCTAGCCTCGAGGCGAACGCCTTTTGTAGCGGCACATCGGTGGCAGAAGCTCAAACTTTGGCAAAGCACGAATGCTTGCCCGTCCCTGCTGACTTGCGGAGAAAGAGGCTGTATCTTCGAAGAAGAGTGTTCCAGAAGCCTGGAAGTGCAGTAACTGGTTGGACAAACCTTGCAATACCAAATCAGGAGCATGCCCATTGTTGTGGCCTCGACATAGTCGTAGCCGGCAATGGCTGAGTTGTCTTCGGTATAGTACCGGCACTCGATGGGTCCTGCATGAAGGGTGAAGTGCATGCCTGATTGTCGGGGTCAGAGGAGGGTGGAGGCAAACATCTGGTAGCTGAACGCAAGAAGCGTTGGAGGCTACGAAATGGTCGTAGTGAGCAGGAAATTGGCAGGGCCCGGTTCGGCTCTTCCACTGCTCTTCCCTTTTCCTGCTAGTTCCAGCTCTGGCGGACTGCTCTCTGCATACGTCCGAATGCCTGTTGCACCATTGAAGCGCTCCACAATGATGCGAAGAGTTGTTTCCTCAAGACGACAGACACAGACGCAAGGTTAGACGCGGCTAGGGGTTTGGTGGCATGCAAGAGTGCACCCAGGACAAAGGCATAACAAGTACAAGTTAAATTAAGTGCAAAAACAATGTAAATCATGCAAAGGCTTGAGAGCAGGGCCAACGAAAGCTAGCGACCGGGCATGTGGCATCGGGCCGTCAAGCCGAATGAGAGTAACAAACATCCACACCACAAACGCGACTCTCCATAAGGGCTGCCTCATCCGCATGAATCCGAAGGCATCAAAACTCTATCGTGATGAATGTTGGAGCATTGGCAACACCAGCAAGACCCACATGCCCACGAGCGGAACCTTTGAAGGGTGTGGACAGGGGGAGGGGATGGAAGGCCGAATACCCCCCACCCCGAACCCTCTGTATCGGACCGAAAGGTGACGAGAAACCTTCATGCCACAGCTTCCAAAGAGCTAAGGAGCTAGCTTTCGTGAGCACTCAGAATTCAAGCATGTCAAAAAAACTGTCATGACAAACCCTTGGGTCCTCCTCGCGCTCCTTTACCTCCACCTCCTCTTTCCTCACCAAGCACTGAATGCTGAACGACGCCCGGACCCCTGCACTTAACATACCCATCAGATTCAGTATTACATTCGGGGCTTGATTCCTCAGGTCCGTGCATGCGATTTGACCCTCTGAGCGCTTTGCTGAAAGCGCAGCTTCCCTGGCTCGTCATCATCCACAATGACCTTTTGCACTGCTCCACAACATCTTCTCCAAACAGCTAGATTCCGCACGTGCTTCTTGACAGCCTGCTTCTTACAACGTCTCGCATCGACTTCTCCGGCCAAGCTGCAACCGTGGCTGTCGCAAGAGAAGCTATGATGCGCACCTGCACGAGCAGGTGATGGCAATGAACAGAATGGTGCTTCTTGGTACGAAAAGTCGTGTGCCGCTACTACGGTATGACATGACTCAGCTCGACAAGTCAACACTGTCTTTTCGATGCTGGAGCCTTTACGTCCTGCGGAGGCTCCACGCCATTTAGTTTGGGCTGGCTCAAGTCGAGGTAAAACTCCTGCGGCATCGGCCCATATCATAAGCCTGTCTTGCCACCATTTGCCACCTACTGAGACTGACGTCGCCAGACTGCTCAGTCTCCTCATCCTCCTCGTATGCAGCATCATCAATGATCTCGACATAGTAGTCCTGCAGGCAGCGGCCGAGCATTCATTGCTTCATGGCGCCTTTCAAGCTTGCGCCTTTCAGTTTGACAGCAACATTCACTGGAACGTCGTTCGTGCTTTCTCTGCACACCCATTAGGATGCCCTGCTTTGGGGCAAGGGCTGCGAAACGTGGGGTGGTCGTTCAGGCCCAGATCGTTCAGGTCACAGCCAAAGAAATCATCAAGAATGGCCGTCCCGGCAGGTAAGTATCTCAAGCAGTGGCAAGCGCGGGCCAACTGTGCTAAGTCTGGGGCTATGTCGTCTATGTGCATTTCCGGATACTGCCAACTGCTAGGCTTCATCTCCGCTGGATCTGCTGACATGACGTGGGGTAACGCAGGGAACGTCCCGCAGCATGCAAAGCATTGGCAAAGGATGGTCGCAAAGCACGGGGCGGAACCTCAGACTTTACGACAGAGCGGAAGCTTGCGGCGCTCTCAATGCCCAAACAGGAACAGCCACACTTACCCAGTTCGAAGTCCTTCAGCGTCTCGCCAGGAGCAAATGTTACCTCAGCGCTTGGCACTTGCCCTCACACCACCACTCACCACCTGCCGACTCTTCCAAAAAGGCCCTTCACATCTGCGACAGCCAGCATAAACTACAAGAATACTTCAGGAACCTGAACGCAAATGCCACTCTCACCCCCGCCCCGGGTGATGCATACTCACTCCCTGTTGTAAACGCTTAGCCACTGCTTCGTCCACTGGCTTGAAATCCGAGTTGGCTTTCGCAGTGCCTTCACGTGAGGTGACCTCGGACTGTTACAAACGACTCGCATCCACGACAGCCCAAACAAACCTCAATCTGCTTCTAGATTCTAGATGGGGCTCTAATATCTTGCATGCGCATACGCTCACACCTTGCAGTCTAGCAGTGGGCAGCGGCAGATTACGCCGGTTGTCTCGGTTGCATACTGTATGCAAAAGGAGTGGCTGCTCGCTTGGCTTTTCCGGTTCTTGAAGATGGCTGGGCAGGGGGTAATGCTGCCCCTGCGTCCACTTGTGCTGTCTGCGAGTGGCCGAGCGCCTGGCCCGGCATCCTCTGCTGTGAAAGTTGTCATCCGCCACAGTCGTGATTGTCGCCCCCCCCCCCCCCCCCCCCCCCCCCCCCCCCCCCCCCCCCCCCCCCCCCCCCCCCCCCCCACCTGGCCCCACCCCCCGGCCCCACCATGAGGAGGCCTTGGGGCTCGTCCCCCGGTCGCCAGTCTCTTCTGTGGGCAGTCGCGTTCATTGACGGGAGCCGGGCGGCAGCTGCATGTATCTCCTTTACGTACCTGCTTTTTCCTTGCCTCCGCTCCACTTGCTTGGAGGACAATCGCTTACCATGACTTTCTCAGGAATTGCACACCTCAAACTTTGAACGCCGTCAACTCTGCCAAGTCTGGCCTGCACGGTCACCTCCCTGTCCAGCAGGCCAGCGCGCATTAGCTGCAACTTGGCCATGTGGCAAGACCTGAGTCAGGCGGCACGCAAACCCAAGTTGGCTAGCAGATGTGACAGATTCTTGAAGAGTCTTGAGATGGGTTTTTCTGGAATCACGAGCGGGTCGCACCAGCGTGTCACCCGTTCGATAGATCGCAACTCAGGGCAGGGCTCTAGAAAGGCGTAGCGGTCTGTTGCCCATCCAACTTCCACCTTGGCACAGGCACCGAGCGAACATGGCTGAGCCATTCTCCCTTGTTTTCCCGCAGCTGCAGCGTCGGGGCCCTCACGAGCTTGCCTTTGTTCAGCTCATCCGCCGTGTTGTGAGGCGCGGTCACGAAGTTCACAGGAACAGAGTGAGCGCCAAAGTCAGCTTTCTTGCCTCAACACATGCTAGAATCGCTAGAAGCCCCATTACATCTCGTTGCCAACACACGAACACTCGAAAGAGCTAACACCAGCGCCTCCCACGATGCCCTCCATAGCTGCATGACGGTAGAAGGCACCTGCTAGAAGACTAACCCCGGCACAGTTAAAGGATGACAATGTACAGCTGAACTGCACCCAAGATTGAGCGTGCTAAGACAAGACACTGTGTCAGAATGTGTTCACTCAGGTCTACAATGCCCCGAAAAGAACCAGCTGGCAAGTGGCGAGAAGGCTTTCCAATGTACATGTGCTGTATCACCCGGACCAACTGATCATCCTCGATCACATGGCAGGTGGCAGCTCTTGTCTTGACACTTCTGAAGATGGAAACAGAAACTTTTGTGAACCAGGTGTGCCTACAAGTTGCACCACTTAAGCCCATCCAAACAAGGGCCAGCATCCGAGATCTTGTGGTTGTACTCTTCTCGAATACCCTGCTCTATCTCCGCCAGCCTTTGGTCTGCCCCAGGCATCACAACACGGCGAACACAGCATCTCTTCACCACGGAAGTGACTTGCAACAGTAGCCACTGACTGATTCCATCGAGAAGCTCTTCTTTGGTAACGTCTGGTGGAATTGCTCCTGGATATCGGACTGGGATGACTGGAGCACACAAGCATCTTTCCACCAGCTGCAAACCATGAGCCGCGACATGAGACACATGCGATTCACAATGATGCACGTGCATCGGATTCCGAAGCCCACTCTTAGAAATTTTCCGAGGGTCCGTAGAAGTTATCATTCTGTTCGTGATGGTCGTCGTCACCACCGGCCGTGAAGTAGCCCTGACATGTGGCATGACTCATGACTCCAAAAGTCGGCAAAGTCTTTGAAGCAGGCTGCATAGATCTACATGGCCGCACTGCACGTGAAAGCTGCCTTGTCTGCAGCAAAGGCAATGGCCAGCAGAACCTTAGTAGCAAGCAGGATGGGAACAGCATTCCTGCTCAGGTCTGAGGTTGAAAGGCCAAGGAGCCGGGAACAGTAGGAATGTCACCTCAGTCGGTCGCAAGCTTTCCAACCCCGAACCGCGAAGCCGCAACCTGAACTTCGCTTCTGCCGCCTAGGATGCTATCCACTGATAAAGCTATGTACTGCAAAGATTCATAAAGGCTCTAGGACACTCTAGGCCTTAGGGGCAGATTCAGAAACCACTTTCTCAGCCTAGTTTCCACGGCTTCCCAAAGCTCGCATATGTCAGGCGAAATCACCATGAGAATCAGAAGAAGCCAGACCTGGGCATGCAAGACTTGCAAGCCACACGAAATCCATCTCGGGCCATCTTGAATCTTTTCTTTCAAGTTGGGGGATTCTGGCGGGTGTCATTGCACACTGGGAGATACCTCGGAACTTCTTGTTCAGGACATGCAAACTTCTTTATTTCCGCGTCGCTGGCAGAAACGAAAACCGAAAGAAGACAGATCCCAGAATGAATGCCCTACTGTAGTGCCAGAGGCACTACAGGATGGCCCCACAGCTGGCGAAAGCACCCGCAAACAGTCGCAAACACTCCTAGAACATGTGGGCAGCAGGAAGACGAGAGGCTGGAATGATACCGAAAGGCCGAAATACTAAGTTCTGTGGGTGCAGAGTGAGAATTCTGGGAGCATCCAAGGAAGGCAGAGCCTGTCCTGTCAGAGCTACGGTGCTTGAAAGAATACCTTCAACCGTGGATCAAAGCTTCACGTACTCTTCATCCAATCTCGAACATCTCTCGAACCACTCTACAACCGGCAAAACATCACATGCAGAATCAGCTGCATAAGCCAAGATGGAGAAGGTTGCCTCAGTGGGTCAGATAAGCAACTCAGCAGATGCCCATCTTTCGCTCAACAATGTTGCTGCATCACATGTCTAACCTTCTACGCCGCGTAGATATAAACAGACTTCGGCCAAAGAGGCAGTGACACAGTACACCTTCGTGTCCTTGATGTATCGCACCTGCTCGGACGCTGCGATGTCTAAGATTGCCCTGGGCTTCCACCACTGTAGGATCTAGCCACACCTTCAGCTCAACTAAGCACATGTCTCACATTCACATAGATTCACGCCTCCCCATCTGGGATTGCGCACACACATACTGCACTGATCACAAGGAGATTGAAGGCGGCACTGCCTCCCAACAAGCTCGGCATGTGAATCCGTCACGTTGCGGGAACAATGTTTGCCGCAGGAAACTCTGACATCACACGTGCAGCCACAGAAGTGCACCGTCATGGCCTACTACTGTGCCAGAGCCCAAATCGCCGATGTACATTTCGTTGCTCATGATTTCCTGAGAACGAAGGCAGCCGCCGTACATGGCTAAATGTACACGATGACTGCCTTTTGCAGGACAGCCATCCACTTGCATGCGCCAAGTTTCGATAACACTGAGGAGGATCTCTGGAGCACTAGAGCCAAGGGCCATGAGCCTTGGAGTACTCCACGGTTCGCTTGCGTTATTCATGTTATTCCCGTGCCGGCGAGTACACCACAATGACTTGACAAAGGCATAGTCTCAAAACGAATCCTTGACCACCTTCTCTGTCAGGATCCAGAACTGGATGGGAAGTCTTCATGGCCATACTACCAGTCTGCAAAACGAAAACGAGACACGTCAAGTTGGCCATTGTGTCGTTCCACACTGTCTGCGTAACCTGCAAGCGGGAGCTGGTATAAGCTTCCATTCTCTGCAGACATGGCACATACATGCAGAAGGGGATGCTCAGGCCATGTGCAGAGCACGTGGAACGAACACTTGCAATGGCCCTGGATCCACATTCATGCGCGGACAGCTGGGCATCTGACAATCTTCCCCGTTGACTTGAGTCTTACCCGTTTCTTCTGCGATGTTATCCTCAACAAGAAAACAATCAAGCATGACAGCCGTACACAACCGTGAATGTCCGAGTCATTGCGCTTGTCAGCACATGTCACCAAGTACAGGAGTGTGGAGACGGCCGAGACCGAACGTTGGCCTTTCCCGAAGCCCCAGTCCTCTCAATAGCGTTCATAAAAACATCGGAGACCACGGCCACTCCGAGGAAGCAGTAGAAGAGGCCGAGCACGTAGAGGAACTCAGCATTAGGGTAGGTTTTTGTTGTTTGCTATCCGTTAAAACTCAGTCCATGTTAGCGTACACAGGTGCACAGGTTCTTAAGGGTTGCACGATCCGCAGCCCATTGGGCCAGTTCTTCTCATCCTCGCCGAAGGCTGGTAGCCACATATAATCCCTGCAAGGTGCAGGGGCAGTCGTACCGTTCTGTGAACCCTGAAAGAGCCTGCAGAGCCGAAAAGGCAGAGAGCTTTGATGGGGCCAAACGCCGCAAAAAACAACATGTATAAAGAAAAATGATGCGGAATGGCAACTGCAAATCTTGCCGAGCCACGTTTCGCAGCGGAACGCCATGTTTTCCACCTGGCAAATGGATTGCACGGCTTGCAACTTGCCGGTCGCTTGCTATTCAGCTGTCAGCAGTCAAACATCCCAAACAACCTGCAGGGGCGCCTCTGCCGGAACGATCTCGCAGCTACTATCTACCTACCTGATGTACTGCCTGGCCCTCCAGGCCCCTCTGGGGCAGAGGAGTGTCTCTATCCAACTTGGGCCATGAACAGCCTCGGACCGGTAATTGCAGCGTCGTTGCTTGTGGGACCAGCAGACTGACTCCCTCCTGCCAATAAGTCTTATCGCAGCATCCGAACAACGGGTGCCCGTGTCAAACAGCAGTTTCGGTTCAGAGCCTACAGAAGCGCCATGTATGCCAAGATATGCCAAGCCATGATCAAGACGACTATTCGTTTTGCTGGCTGTAGCAAGCTGCACAGGGCGGTCGCTGCATCGACCTCCGCAGCGTGCCTGGCGATCGTGCGCACAAGCAGCAGACTTCCGAACGAATGGCACTTCCGATCGAATGCAACTGGTTTCGAATCCAAGTCGCGTGCTACATGTACAGCTCGAAGTCAATCTTGTCCCATCGATGCCAACATTGCTCCTCGCATTCCGAATAAGACGAACGGGGCGGCGCAATTTGCTCAATGCGACTGACATCTGACCGGTCATGACTCAAGACTCAGTGTCGCTCCTGGGGCTTGTTTTTTTCGTCACACTGGCGGAACTCTGCCGGTCGCTCATCAGAGAAGCAACCCTGACAGGAGGTTCAATGAGATTCAGAAACATCACTAACTGCACCTCCGTCAGCACATGACCGTGCCGCATTGGCAGCAAAAAAAAAACGTGATCTGCCGTGGCAAGCTTCTTCACTGTACGATTGTCGCCATAGGGCCTGCATCATCCAACCTTGCATCGTGACTGAATCAAAGGGGCCGTTGATCTCGTCAGGATTGTGGCCCCAGCGAAACCTTGCTGAGGCTCGGATGCGACATGCACAAAAGCCACAGTTAAGAACAAGTTCAAAGACGGGTCATGAATTGCAGACTGCACCTATACAGCTTGCCACGACAACCGAAAAACGGTGCTGTCCTTACAACCCACTTGCAGCAGAGGTTGGTCCCCAATCGCCCGATTGCGTCCTACGGAAACTGCAGGACTGAGGATTGTCTTGACATCTCCGCCCTGCCCTTGTGATCTTGTACTTGGCCCGGGAGCTGCCACAGCAGCGAAGCCGAAGCAGGGCCTACCAGGCCAGGCCAACTCATTCGAAGCAATCTATTGCTTGTTTTGCTCACCCAAGCTGACGCCAAAGGGACTCGTTTGGAGCAAACACTCTTGCAATGTACCAACACTGTGTACCAAGGGACCAAGGGGCTCAGAACGAGACCAAGCAACAAGAATGATGCTTGCACGCACGCGCACGGGCTGAAATTTGGCGTGCTCACACATGTTCACCCATGCTCACCCACTGTTCAGCCCTTGCACCTGGCAAGGTAGAGTTGGGCTCGAAGGCCCCCACCAGTGGAGCATCCTTTTCTCCTTGGCGCAATGCCCAAATGTAACTAGTGCGGCAGCTCGGCAACCTCTCGATTGTGGCCCCGACCAGCTTTGAAGCGCTTGTTGGTATACTGTACCTTCCACAAAAAGAGGGGGGATGCGTATCAAAAGGATTCTCCCATGTCTGAAAATGTTTGAAAGTCCCGGCTCAGTGCAACTTTGCTGTCAGCCCACCTCCGGAACGGTGTCCGGCGCAGGCCTCTTATCGCCCGCACTGGCCTCAGCCTGTCGCAATGAACGGTGAGGCAGCGCATCTGATTTGAAACCATTTGCAGGTCTCTCTTCGGCAGCTTCATCAGCCCGTAGCTTGAACAGTATGAGCCACGAAATGCCGCTCAATGCTTTCTTCCGAACTGTCTCTGTCACCAAAAGTCCAACCAGAAACAATCCCATGTCTCTACAGAAAAACGCACCTGCTTGGGCGGCTCTGCGGATCCCTCTTCGCCCGTCAGCTTCTCGCCCTTCCGCTGGCGGACATCGATTGCCAGCAGCTCACGGGCCGAATCCTGGATCAAGCGGGTGTTGGGGGTCTTGTCGCGATATGTGCCGGCCCATTGGTACAGTACAGTACTCAGTAGCAGCATGCCACATCGGCGGTTGCCGTGCGAGGAGGCGAGAAGCTGCGGCAATTCATGGCCATTCCCCATGTGCAGCCCTACACATGCCTACCACATGCTGACCAAAACACGTAGACCAGCACGCCCCGCTCAAGAAGACGGTCGCACAAGTCGGTAAGGCGGCTCATTTTCCTCGGCTCCAGTTCGAACAGGATCTGTATTCAAGAGCTCTCAGATTTGCCCAGGCACTCTCTCCGAGCAGCCTCTTCATCGTCCACCGCCACTGCCTTGCGCCGGTGTCCAGGCCGCGGTGGGCCGTCAGCAGGCACTTCCTCCACTTCGCTGGCTACACGCGAATGCGATTGGGACGTGCAGCAGCAGCAACATGCAAAACTGCAAAGTACTGCAAAATGCTGTGCCATGGTGTAGCAGCGCGGCGCTCCTCAGGAAGTTTTGGCAGGGCCTTCTCCCGAACATCACGAGTCTCCTTCGAAACAAGTTCTTCAAGACTCACTTGCGTCATCAACTGCCCGCTCCCAGCTGCTGGCTCTCACTCCTCCGACTTCAAAATCTGCCCGTGAGTTGATTGAATTTCCGAAAGGAAGGGGGGGGGGGACAAATGTCGTGGTTTTGACTGACGTGTTGTGGGTGCTCCATTACCGGAGATCCTGAACGCCCCCAAGAGACACCACTCGAGCCATTGATGCTCATAGAAATCATGTCGCATCACCCACCCTTCGTTTCTCCATCGGAATCATGGGACCCACGGCCAGCACAGCAAAACGCGCCGACAGGCAATCAAGGTATGGCAAGGGTTGGGAAGCGTGTGTGCGTGTGCTTCCAAGGCCTTCAAGAAAGTGCGAGGGGGCGTCTGTGATTCCACCATAATAAGTAGTCACGTCACAGAGAAAGAGAAGAATGCCCCAAAAACGACAGTGGCTCACTGTCAGAACAGTGAAACAACGCGTGTCACATACATTTGCTGAATCACACAACATGCAACCATGCGCGAATTTGATTTTGCATCACATCGTCTAACATGCCTCCGCGCCTTGGCAAACATTGTACACAATCTGTCTCGCCGTATTTACTGCAGAATGAATGTTGAGAAGGGTTCGCAAATGCAGGACTGGGGTTGTGCCAACTCGGGATCGACCCTTCATGCAACCTGCGCAGAGCATTCAAGCAATGTGTGGCTCCAAGTCTGGGCCACGTGACAGAACCGGCATGACATGGATCCCATGTTTGAATGGCGTGCTGCTCGTCCATCGCGGAAACAGTGATGGCCACACCGAGCCAATCCCCAAAACGCGAAGTGACAGGTTAAAGATGCCGGCTGTAGACTACAGGGTGTAGGAGCGGCCAAGGTTGTAGCATACAAGGCGAGCCACTCCGTAGCACGCAGCGTCACCGAATACATTGCATGTGAATGTTGGCATATCAGGCATGTCACCATTTTCACATGCCTTAACCAGTGTTTAACAACCCGGTCCAATCCCCCAAGTGGCTGGATGAGCTACACCAAAAGACATCAATTCATTTGCTGCTGCGTCTGTGAACGAGAAGTCTACAGGCCGAGGACATCAAGTTGTTTGCGGCCTCAAAGCTGATGTAAAAGTGAAACTCTTCACGATGCGCCTCCGAGTTCAGGTTGACGATGGCCGCCGCCTCCAATGGACGATGCAAGCTGCTGAGGGCAGCAATGCATCAACCAGGCCCAATTAGGCACTAAACCCTAAACCCTAAACCCTGAACCCTAAACCCTGAACCACATCCAAACCATCCTGCATGCCTTCTACTCTGGGTAAGGCACCTCCGGGCCCTGCTCGGGCACCAGCGCACGAGCGATGCTGCGTGACATTTTCATCTCGGCGGCAAAGGCCTCGAAATGCAAAATGCACTGGAGTATCCTGGAGTCTATCCGTGCCCACAGCAGCCGTCCTGCCTTGGCCGCCTCCTCGGCTGCCTTCTCGTCCGCAGCCGCCCGCGCCGCCGCTTTGGCCACTGCCGCGGGGTTCGTAATGCTGGACCTTTTGTGGAGACATGACGCAGCCACAAACAACACACACACACACACACACACACACACACACACACACACACACACACACACACACACACACACACACACACACACACACACACACACACACACACACACACACACACACACACACACACACACACACACACACACAACCACACACACACACACACACACACACACACACACACACACACACACACACACGCCAGTAGAATCCTGAGAGCCGCACTTCTCCGCCGCAGCCTTTGCTGACTCTGCCGCGGCAGCACGCTCGGCAGCCACTGCAGCTGCAGCTGCAGCACGGGCAGCTTCTGCCTTGGCCAGCTCGGTCTCCACCTGCTGGGCTTAAGCTCGCATCAATATCCTTCAGTAAGGAGTAGGATATGTAGGGTCTAGGAGTCTAGGGCTGAGGGTCGGAGTGCTACGAAGGGCTTGGAGGGCTTGGAGTCTCGGATCTCGGTCCAAGTGCCATGCTCCAGAAATTCCAACACACGAGGTGAACCCTAAACTGAACCCGAATTTCTCCCCGCAACCTGACGTTCACATACCTTCACATTCAAGCCGCCACGCGGGCCAAGCATCATGGGCATCAGCTGGAACTGGTTTCTCTCCACGAATCCCTCCCACGATGTGCCCCGATTTTGGCCGAAAACAAACCGTAGCCCCGGACTCCGGACCCCGATCCAGCTCGGGATACGGATCATGTCCTTACACACTACCGTCATGGGCTTCACTTGCAACCGCCGTTAGCTTGGCCTTCCCTCTGTCTTCATCAGTGGCGGGTTGCTGCGCCGGCACCTTAACAGATCGGCAAGCAGGAAACGCGCGCTTAAGCTTAAGGTGCAATGCATGCTCGGCTTTTCCTTTTTGGGACTACGGAACGGCCCAAAGCTTTAAAGGTTTTGAAAAACCTGGCTGGAGCTGTCGCCCTGCAGGCACAAAAACATCCCGTCGCTACGTGCTTCGTGCCTCGGCCGCGGCCACGGCAATCTCACCCCCCGGAGCAGCTTTGTCCAAGGCTGGCGTCGTTGCCTGGCACGTCAGTGTTATAAGATAAGGTGGTGCACGCTGGTGCCTTTTCAGCTCGACCTAGAAATCGCACAAACGCCTGCAGGAGTTGTGGCTGCTTCCTGTTCGAAGAACGGGAACTCAGGCCTGCTCGCTGGCTTGTTCAGCTTGCGTCACCTCTTCAGCCGGTTGTTGCGCAGCTAAGGAGCCGGGCTCCTCATGGCACGCATGGCATGGTGGAGACACATAATGCATCTTGCCGCCGCCCGTGCTCCCTTAGGAGACCCGGCACCTCCCACTAGGTCAGCTCTGAAGCACAAACGATGAGGACATCTGAGTCCCGTCCTCGTAGCCCCATTCGTTGAATTTCTTTCTCTTTGGCCGCCTCGGTCGAACATAAACCTTACCACCAGCTTACCACCAGCTTACCACCAGCTGACCACAAGCGCACGAGGATGACGACACATTGAAGCGGCCGGTTATGTGAGCAAGTGGCGCATCGCCATCCTTGGAAGTGAGGGCGACGGCTTGGGTTGCCTCCGCTCGCGCCTTGCGCATGCGTGCCTCAATCACGAGGCGGGAGCTTCAAGCCTTCTTGGGCAGCTGATGGATGTTGCTGTTGCTGTTTTTTGGGTGATCGTGGCAATGGCAACTTAGCCACATTGACGGAGGCACATGGAGGAACAGCATCATGACATGTGGCCGACTGGGGGTTGAGGCGGCGGCACGTGTCTTGAGGACCGGTTCCTTTCCACGCGCTTCACCGCGGCGAATGCGTGCCAGCGCCATGGCCTCTTCTTGCGCAGCTTCCAAGCAATGCCCTGCTCGCAAGCTAGCAGCCTATCCGCTACATCAAATGAGAGTATCTCAGAACACCAGGATGTGGCCACCTACTTTCCAGATTAGGGCGCTTCCTTCTGCGTTTCACACCCTTCCCAAAACAGCGAAACCAATGTTAACCTGAACAACTGTGGAATCGCGAAAGTAAGGTCAGCAGCCGATGCGGAAACTGAAAACGGCAGATTCGGAAAGTGGAACAACAAATTCGGGAAGCTGAAAGCGCGGATTCGGGAAACTGGAAAGCGCGGACTCGGAAACCTCCGATTCGGGAAACTGGAAGGTGCAGGTTCGGAAACCGCTGATTCGGAAGACTGGAAAGTGAGGATTCGGAAACCTCTGCTTCGGGAAACTGGAAAGCGCGGGTTCGGAAACCTTTGATTCGGCAAACTGATTCGGCAAACTGGCAAGCGCGTATTCGGAAACCAGTCATTCCGCAAACCGGAAAGCATGGATTCGGAAACCGCTGATTCGGGAAACTTGACAATGGCTCTGGATCGGAGCTGGAGGGGCAAGAAGTACGCCCTGAGCTGCTGGAATTCTGAACCCTCCGGGAACTCTGCGCCCAAACTTCCACCAAAGTGAAAGGACTGCAGGGAACTCAAAGGGCATTAAAGGCGTTTGCCCGGAGGGGTGTTGGGGGTCCTGCGAACCGGGAGATGTTTCTCGTGCTTGCGTCGGCTTGGCACACGGCCAGTTTCCAGCTGAGTGTCATGTGAAACGGCTGCTCGGAACCTACCCAAGGATAAGCCAGAGGCCAAAATCCCATAATCCCTATACGCCAAGGCTAGCACTCTAAGGTCCACTCACACAGAGTTTCTGGTCCACCTTGTCAGGTTAAAGGGTGCCATACAATTGCGCGTGGACGGCGATGAGTTATCACACCCCCACCCCCCCTTCCCCACCCCCCACTGAATTTTCACAAGGGCTGGGGGCGTTGGGGGCGGTGAGGGGTGGGGGGGGGTAGGTGGCAGGGAGGGAGTTGGTGATGGGCAAACTGCCTGCGTCGAGCCACTTCTCGTAGTTTCCTGAAACGCCTGGTTTCCTTAATCGCGTGGTTTCCTGAATCGCATGCTTTCAATTTCCCGAATCGCATGGTTTTCTGCAATGCGTGCTTTCAATTTCCTGAATCATGTTTCCTGAATCGGGTGTTTTCAGTTTCCTGAATCGCATGGTTTCCTGAATCGCCTGGTTTCCTAAATCCTGCTTTCTTGAATCACGCAGTCCTGAATCCTGGTTTCCTGAATCGCGTCCAGGTTCCGGATCGCGCAGGAAGCACGATAAAAAAAAAAAAAAAAGACGTCTAGAAAACATGTTTCCGGTGCAGAAATTCATTCATGTCGCGTTGCACCTAACACCCACCACAACTGCAGGCAACTGATCATGACTGCATGGCAACCATACCGCTAGCAGACGTTCACGATGCATTTTGCGTTGGGGTTCTGGCAGGGCTTTCCAAAGGCTGGAGGGAAGCAACCAGTTCCTCCAACCTGACAGCGCCAGTCACGTCTCGCCCATTTGAAGCAGCAACGCTCTTTGCTGCGCAGCATGGCGACCGGAGATTTCTGGGCACTCAAGACTATTCTATCGCGACATTGCCACACACACACACACCCACACCCACACGCACCAAAAACGAAGACACCGCAATCCGTCAAGGAACATGTCGATGATGGAGGCTTCATCTTTTTCATCCTCTTGGGCTTCCTCTTCCGCCGACTTCTTTGTGTCCTCGGCAGCCTCTGGGTGAGAATTTTTCTGAGCGGAAAACCAGGCCCTCGGGCCTCTCCGAATAATGACCAAGATCTACTGCCCCACTGCCATGCCACACGAAACAACGCAACATGCCAGAAACATGCCACGGGCTTTTGAAGAGTACCGGCCTTTTCCTTCTCCGCGCCCTCCCCATCTTCCTTGTCATCGTCGTCCTGCGAGTTCGGAACTATTCTGGCAATGTCGTCAGTGGCAAGTCACGCTTTTTTTGGAGCGCTCCGCGCGACAGAAAGTTCAAACATTGATCCCTACCGCAGCGAGACAGAAGCACACCAATTCAACCGCTCAGCATCGCTCAGCATTGAACCCACAGCCGACGTGCAGTGTACTGAGACGGCCCTACAGATGGCTCAAAGATTTTGCTCAGGTAGCACAGAGCTTAGCACAGCGTTCTTGCTCCAGGTCTCGAGGGCGAATCTCCCACGGGTAGATCCTTGCAGAACCACTGATTCTGACCGAGGCCGATGAGCTTCGCGCCTACTGCAAGTGCAAATCTTCTCTGTCAGGACAATGCTTTAAGAAACAAACCTAGTCAAAGCTTCAAGGTACTGCTTGCAAGCAAAATGCCAAAATAGAGATGTCCCCGTGCAGGACAGACTCCAAGTCACAGCCGGGTTGCAAGCGAAAGCTGACATGCGCAACTATTGGCGACTCGAGCTGCGACTGCGCTGATGTTGTCCTGCAGTCTGTGCCACTATGCAGTCTATGCCGGTCGCTCGAAAAGACAGTGGCTCGGGGTACAGTAGGGTTTTGTGGAAGGTCCAGTCGTTCAGTTCAGCTCCTTCACATAGACGGGTTAGAGACTTGAAGTTTTCAGCAAACCTATCGTACCTTTCTGCACCCAGGCATACACTGCGCCAAGGCTCTGAAGAGGTAGCATCGTGTTCATTTGCTTTGCGGTCTCAAAGGCTTCAGGATCCGAAAGCCAGATTTTCAGCAAACATCTGTCCGAGATCACCAGGTGCACGACCTTTCTGCGAGTTGCATGCGAGGGACATGCTGCCGCGCATGCTGCGGCCGTACGTGGCCCTCCTCTCGATTCTTGGCATGCTCTGGCACGCTATGGTACGCTGATGTGCGTCCGGCTTCTGCGCACACTGGAGTAACGCAAAGGAAGAGTAGCTAGTTGTGTCATATTGCATCATGTGCTGTCATGCTATTCATGGCTGCCAAAGCACATCCATACATCCATTTCGCGTGTACCAAGCAGAAACTCGGCGCCAACAAAGCCAGCCTGTGCAGCAGTGCGGACCAACATGGGGATCGTGATATACATATATATATATATATAGATAGCTAGATAGATAGATAGATAGATGGATCGCCAAGTGATGCCTAAAACTGACACAGGCAACACGGGTTCCATGGCAAGCGCACCTGCATGGGCGGGATGATTCGGCAGAGGTGCCAGGAACGAGGCCACGCGCTGGAAGACGTCCTCCGGAAGCCTGTCTGTTCGTTGATTCTGTTTTTTCGTGCGTGGCGCGTTGATTCTTCTTGAATCTCTTTCGCACTGCTTCGACCGAATTGCATGCCCAGATAACTGGCGCAGAACTCCTCTTCGGCCAAGCAGGCCCAGCAGCAGCAAGTCTTCATCATTACACTCCCAGAAGAAGGACATTGGCGTAGGGGCGCATCATTCAGCTGACAGCGCCGTCATGAAAAGCATAGCTTGGCCAAGGTCTTCACGATCTCATGGATGCATTTCAGCTTTGGGCCAGCAGCTGCTGATCATAACGCTACGTGACTTCAATGCATTTCGAATTTCAAGTTTTTCCGGCTGGTGGTCCTCTTCCTCACCTTCAGAGTCCGGTCCCAAATTCTTTGCCATCGCTGACAAACGATTGGCCGCTGTATCCTTGCAGCAAACCGAGGACATGCTCAAGGAAATGTCTCCATAAAGTTCTGGTCGCCCCTGTAGAACCTGCTGAGGCCCCAGCCAAAGCCTTATTCTGCTTGTCCGCCTCAGTGACTTCAAGGAGTAATAAGGAGTACACACCAGAGCCACCTTCACAGCGCACAGGTTTCATTGTGCCAAGCGCATTGTTGCTCATTTTTTGCTCATTGTTGCAGCAGATGCACATTGGCCCCGACTTGACACTCGCAAATCCGCCGGCCTTGGGCCGTAGGTGTCTGGGCAGCACAAAGCAGGCACCCCACCTCTAATCCCCTCCCCGACCAGGTTTGCACCCATGCACCCCTTTCCCAGCCCTCCCGCCCCCAGCCCCTGGTGTGGGTTAGCTCAGGCCGCGGTGGGTCGCGTAGCGTTAAAATTATTTCTGGAGGTCGTCTAGAATTCTGTTCAAGGACAGCAGACCAGTTCTGGGGATGTTTGGTGGTGGCTACGTGAGGTCACCCACCAACAGCACAAAATCACAAGGCAAGCGATGGTCGCTGGCCCTCGCAGAAGAGCTGTGTCTGCACCTATCTTGCCAACTGCACGCTGCACTTTCTCATACATTTCCGTAGGCAACAACTTGTCGCACAGCTTCGTCGACAAGCATATGGAAGCGTATTTCTTCTTGCTGCTTCGCGGACCTTTCTTTGAAGCTCCGGATTGGGAGGTGATGGCCGAATGAGGTTTTGCGCACCTAAATCTGCGAAAGTCTCTTGTCTCGTCCAGCCTCCAAGCACTCCACGTTTTTTGTGAGCAAGTGCCGGCAACGTTACTTGGTCCAAAAAACGTTCCAGCAAGCTTTGCTGGTTTTTGTTTAGATTGGCGGGCAGTCGGTCAGATACCCCAGAACACTTCAAATGCCCCAAAAGTCGTTGAGGCCTGCCTGCCCGACCCGCTTGCTTTTGTTTTCCAGGCTTTGTTTGACGTGCGGGAGACTTTTGATGAGTTTTTTACGGCTGTCTGGAAACCCAACCTGCGCTCCTGTTGCAGCAGATCTACTTCTGCTAGACAGCATGCCCATCTCTGGTAAGTCATCGACTGCTCTGAAAGTGGCCGTGCGTTCCGCCTCATGCTCTGCAAGTGCCCCCAAGCAACAATCTGGCGCAAGCAAGCTATGGAACCAATGCTACGGCGAATTCGCTCCGACCTGGTCGACTGTGTCTAACCATGCATCCGTCACCTTCTTTTCTTCGTCCTTCGAGGTCAACTATGTGAGGAAGTCAAGCATTGACTGACCAGTGGAGGGTGGGAGAAGCAGTGACTGAGATGGTGCATAGTTAAGAGAGTTCAGAGACGTCCTTGTTCAATACGTAGAAGCCGCTTTCGTCAAAGTGCCCCTCCCTCATCTCTCGACGCATGTTGAAAGGCTCAAGACCTTGGCCGAACTATCATGTCATTGGCAATCAAGGTCTGACATCTGCTTGGAGCAAAGCGTATGCCGTCGTCGATGCTGTTCAACGGATCGTCCTCATCCACACCCTCGTTCTCGCGAATGTCCTGCCAGCCCCCACAAGCTTCCATGTCTGGAACTCGGGATCTCAGCTTCGCTTGGAGGCGTCAGACCCCCAACGAATTCAGTGAGTCCTGAAACCGCTTGACGCCCTTTCGAGCTTGTGCTCGTTGGGCTCTAAGAATCTCGAAATTGGACTCGGCTTCGACCGAGTGACCATCGAGCTCCTCTGACAAACCGCCAAGCCAGCACATGCCAGCACCCTCCCCGTCACATTTTGTCCGCATCACCCTCGTACCACGTCCCTGGCCTGGAGTCTTTTTGCAGTGTCCGAGCTCCCGCCGACCTGGGTAAACTTGTCATCGCAACCTGACCCTGCTTTCCTGATAAAACATACATAGGTATATGTATATATGGTCCAGTGCTCCCCGGCCCCCCCCTCCCCCCCCCACCCATGGTCTGGAACCCCCCCCCCCTCCCCTGTGGTGTGGTTGGGGGTTGGTTTTAGGGTTAGGGTTTAGGGTTTGGGGTTTAGGGTTTAGGATTTAGGGTTTGGGTTTAGGGTTTAGGGTTTAGGGTTTGGGTTTAGGGTTTAGGGTTTAGGGTTTAGGGTTTAGGGTTTAGGGTTTAGGGTTTAGGGTTTAGGGTTTAGGGTTTAGGATTTTAGGTTTAGGGTTTTAGGTTAAGGGTTTAGGGTTTAGGGTTTGAAAGGTTTTAGGGTTAACCCCTCCCCCCCCTGTGGTGTGGTTGGGGGTTGGTTTTAGGGTTTAGGGTTCAGGGTTGGTTTAGGGTTTAGGGCTTAGGGTTTGACAGGGTTTAGGGTTTAGGGTTAGAGACCGTAGGCCTGGAGGGGGGAGGGGGGGGTAGGGGGGTAAACGCCTCACACACATGGGTTTCTCCGAGGGCGTGCTCCCTCAACCGAAGGCACAACACTCACAAAACACGGGTTTTGCCGAGGGTCGGCCCCCCCCCCCACCCCACCTGACCATACCATGGGGGGGGGGGGCCGGACACGCCAGACGCCGGACCATATATACATGTGTACATTTACATGCCTTCGCATCCGACTATCTTAGCAAAGTACCGGTGCTCCGCGGGCACCTTTGCCTCGGCCTCCACGGCCACGGCCTTTCCCTGCGCCAAGCTGAATCTTGTCAGCATCTATGTCAAGCAAAAACAAGCAAAAGTAAGCAGAAGTTAGGCAGTTGCGTTTTCTCTGCCCTGGTCTCACTGTTTGCTCTTGTGCCTGGGCCGTCGAGGCGCTCTTTGTCTTTCGGTGCCATGATTTTCGGGATTGATTACTGAATACCTTCTTGCTCTACTCAAGGTTCAATGTGCTTCGGCTTTGATTTGTCCACGAGAACATCGTCAGACTTTTCGGGTCATATGTCATGCTTGCAGCATGCTTTGCGGCAAGTGCTGGATGTGTGGGTTGATAAGATATGCTTGGTCGAATGCTTGGGGCCCCCTACCATACGAGCCACGCACTTCGCGCAGATGCATGCAGGCTGCATGCATGGCACGTCTTGCATGTTCTGTCCAGATGACTCTAAGTACACCCCATCCTGCCAAGCAACTCGACTTGCCTCATATGTTGCGCGCATGCCGCATCTACATACTACATGTCGTCCGCGAGCCCTCCTTTTGGAAGACCTGGTCGTTTTTGGTAACGGGGGGAGGGGGGAAGCAGAGGGGGGGTGGGGGAAGGACTCATGAAAAACATTGCCAACCTGCGCCGAAATTGGCTGGTAAATATTCACGATCGGGACGAGAACGATGCAGACAGCATGATACAGACAATACCATTGTCTCACACGGTTGTTCAGGATTCCAACTGTCGCGAGCACGGCCCCTTCACTGTAGCCGCACACAATGCTTGAGATCGGAGAAGTTGCAGCAGTCGTCCATCAGACGTCATGTGTCACACAGCATCACGATATTTCGAAGCTGCCACAGTCTTTTTCTCGGCCCTGCGTGTTGCAGGATCTCGAAACGAGTCAGACATCCAATCTTTGGGACAGCTTCAAGGCTTATAGCTCTTGCTCAGAAAGCTGTGGGAACAGCAGCATGGAAGGACTGCGCAGGGGCGAATCCTGCAACGTTCACATGTTTGCCCACACATCAGCCGTGAGGTTCGGAGCTTACGCACACCATTGGCACCATTGCATCGGAAGCACACATGAAACATCATGAAACCTGCCTGGTCATCGGCTGGGGCAGCATCTACCCAAGCTTTCGCTACAGCTTCGCCTTCCGTTGGTCCATGGAGGACTGCAATCAGACAAGGGCCCACTAGACATAGCACATGCGAGTTCACTCCTTCAGCATCCATTGGCCAACAGGTGTGCTGCAGCGTCAATTGGCGAGCCCAGCGAGGCAGCCGCGGCCCCTGAACCAACAACAATGCCCTCACCAGGACGAGGCAGCAACCCCAAGTCTGGAATGATGAATTTGAACCCCAGCTGCCCAGCTGCATCTTTCAAACATGCTTGCAAACCGAGTTCTAAGCCTCGCTTGGAGCGTGCACGGATTCCGTGCCGGCAATCGGCAAACCTCATGGAGAAGTTCCCATGAAAATCCGAACAGAGACATGTTACCCCGGAATGGAAGTAAGCTCAAACCTTTTACTTTGCGACCACGTCGCAGCTTCGATCAGCACACGGACGAAAATTGATGCAGCCCCTTTCAGACAACACCTTGGTGTGTGCAGCACGTGCTTGCGCTCAACAGTGCTCAACACATGGGGATGAATCAAAAGACATGCCATGACCGACCCGACTTTACCTATTACATAACGGATCACGTCGCCTTCTCAATAACAAGACTCTTTGCTGTCACGCCCCGTCACGCCCCGTCACGCCCTCGTCACCCCCCCCAATCATGCACCCTCTGTACAACCAGAGCGCACCGCCTTCTTAAGGCAACGCCCCGCAAAGCGACCTGCACCGCTGCAAGAGCCTTTGTTTGGCCGGAGCGGAAAATTTCCCAGGTAAACCGACGGCTTCAGCCATAGAATAGTTTGAAGAGCCAGCGTCTCACAACCTGCGAAGTTTGCGGGGCGCTTGTTCGTAAATATGTTCATTGTTGAACATGCTATTCCAGTGTTTTCACCGCGGCGAAAACCACTTTCTGTTTTTTTGTCATTCGGCGTTGCAAATCTGCAGTTCCAGTGTTCTGGACGTAACGGCGATTTTTGGTTGTTGTTGTTTGAGCTAGGTTCAGGGTCTTGCTTTTTGGGTTTCGGCGTGGGAGCTTAGGATATGAAGGCTAAAAAATCGAAAACCAAAACAGGCTGGGGCTTACAGATTTGAAGGGCTTGAGGTGCAGCAACTTTGCAAGGGCTTGAGTGTGTAGCTACTTCGGGCGTGCACGTTTTAAGGGCTTGAGGTTGCAGTTGGGTCTATCTTGGAGGCTTGTGGGCGCAGCATGTTTGGGCTTCAACGGTTCCAGGGCCATGTAAGTGAGACCGACAGACCTCTGGCAGCTGGTTGGTTCCGTTTTGTTGTGTCAGAGTTTTGCAGCATCTCGGCCCCGCAATGGTTCTGGCCCGGCATCGGCAACTCGAAATCGGGCGTTTTGAATGGTAAAGCCGTTCGCAGTACCCTCAAGTCCTTCAACGTTCAAGCCCAAAATTACTGCCACCGGAAAGTGTTTACAGACAGCCATCGGCAGGCGTTCCTCTCCCGCCACAGGGTTACAATCTACCCTACACATTGGCACATTGCTCCACATTGCTTTCCCAAGAACATCTCGAATGTTGGGTCCTTGAATCGCAAAACAGGGCGGTTGCGGGCGGTTGCTGGACAGGCCGGTTGTCCGGGGGACCATCGGAGGCTTGACGAGGGCATGATACCGCAAATGTCTGAGAAAGGCGGCGTACGACTGTGCGACGGGGCCGCGGGGGGGGGGCGACGCATCGGGGAGTGAGGGGCGTGCACGGCAGATGCCTTGTTTAAGCTAACGCCCTACGAACTGACCCGCGGGCTTTGCGTGTTTCAGGTTAGTTTCAGGTTTGTTTCGCTTCTCTTGGTTTTATAGCTTGGGTGTACTCCAGCTGCCAGAGAGTCTACGCCATCTACGTGGCAAACATGCCAAAGAAGTGCAAGGAGCCAGTGGTTGAATCCACTCTGGGTCCACCGTCAGTTCCAGCTGCGTCTCCAGATGGTCTTCCTTCTCGCATCAAAGGCATCGGCCACAGGCTATCACAGGCCACATATGCTGTGTCCCCCTGGCTGCAGGCTGGCAGCTGCCCACTGCCAAAGCACCTGCTAGCAGCATGAAATGCCCAGAAGCCTCAACGTCGCAAAGTCACGCATGAAATCGCGGTATAAGCCTCCGACATTCGCAAGATGCTTCTCCGGGCTGAGTTTTACACCTGACTGCTTGGGTGTGACGCTGTGCCATCTCGTGCCTGGCCCCTGTCTTCCAGAATGCCCTGCAACATCCTGCAACCTCGATGCCCGGGGATCGCCAGCCAGGGCAGTGAAGGCATGTCGGGTAATTTGCCACCTCACAACGACGAGATAGTCAGCCAGGAACATCCAGGAACCTTTGCAGTGTCACGGATGTTCGCCCCAAAACCCGAGGCCAGGACAAAGCTTGCGTTCTTCAAAGCGTGGAGTGGAAGGACAAAGAAAACCTCCGCCACCTGACAGGCTGCCTTCAACTTGCTTTTCTCCTGTGACATCCCCAACTTACAAGTTTCCTCGAGCATTCAGCAGGAGGCTTGTAACGGCCTAAGTCGCTCTTTGCGCAGCTTGTCCAAGAAAGTCTGTTCGCTTTGTGTTTCCATGTGTTCGCACCGTGGAAGAGGCCTTGCGAGAGAGGATGAGGGCCCGGTCGAGGCCCTGGCAAGCACAGTCTACCATGCACTTGCAGTTCCAGTCTTCCTAGTCCATACCCGGAGACACCCGTAGATACACGAGATGCCTGCGGCAGGAGGCACTAAAAAGTCCTGCGAAGGCTGTCAAAGACACTCGAAACACAATCAGGCCAGTCAGGTCATTTTTGTCCGTGAGGCTATGATGTCCTTCTTTGCAGAGCCCATGCTGTGAGAAGCCCTGTCTACAAAGGCATTGAATTCCACCTGCCCTCACACAAAAGACTGAGAAACTGGAGCTTGCTGTAAGTTCAAAGTTGATGCCGATAAAAATGTTCCGTTGCTGCTCTATTATGTTCACTTCATCCGTTTTCAAGATCCTGCGCGTGCCTTTGCATGCTTTGCGGCTGATCTCGAAGATCACCGTTCGACGGATAGGGCAGACGTGTGCTTAAGGTGTGACAGCTTCGTCGACATTGCGTCACTTGTGTCGCCTTGGATGGCAACGCTGTAGGACCAGCACTGCACGTTGTGCTTGCTCAGTCCCCTGTGCCCTGGCCCATCACGGAACCAGGCACAAGGCGTTCGACACATTGTGTCGTTCTCTCGATCGCCAGACTTGCTAGGTTCGACTCCACTTTCAAAAAGACCGTGCCGGTACCACCAATCAAGACCTTCACACTTTCAGCTTGCACAACCAGTACAATGTTGGACATTGCCGGATGCATAGTGCTTGTTGACAGGATGAAGGTCAAATGGCGTACTCCGGTGATCAAACAAGTTGTTCACGGCACAAATTGTGCGGCACTGGCCACGTAAAAAACACTGCCAGACGCCACAAAAGCCTCCTCAAGCTGACGAGAGCTGCAGAGGTTGTTCCAATTTGTTCCTAATTCCTTCACGGAACCTTTATTCGCCCAAAGGTGCTATGTCTTTGACTGACTGATTACCATGCTCATCTAACATGTGCTACACATGCCATACTTCGGGAGCAGTTTGATTCACTGTAGGCTGCGCAGGCAAATGCCGGCTGGCAAACCCTGATGTGTTGGAAGTACGTAGAGTTAAAATGCCAGAAGGCGCATAACATCTAAACTTTGGCGAAGTGCAATGTCTGTAGTGGCAAAGATTCACCAATGTTTCGTGGACCATTCCACTGGCCATCTCATGCTCCCTTTCAACAACACGAGGAAAGGACGTTTAGAACAACTCTCAGCTATTGCCATCTGGTGTGCTGAGCTTCCTCCGCGCAGCTTAGCTGCAGGGGCACGCAGTAACCGCAGATGGTTTGGCGAGCGGCAGATCCCGGGATGACTACACTCCAAGACTAGGATTGCTAGGCCAACGCGTGCTGCTATGGCATCAGGCATACGTGGTGGGATTTGCCGCTGGCCACAAGCATTCGTTTATTCGTTGCATAAAGCTCCTTCCTGCGCAGTCGCTTCAAAGGATGCTCCAAAAATGTTGGCTAGCAGTCCCCTTCTATTGCCTTGTAGCAACCGGAGAGGGACAAAGTGCATGAAGCACGCGCCAAGCGCGCCAAGCACCACGCACGTGTCTCTTGCACGGAGCAACTTATCTTGTTGAGCTGCCCCGCTGTGATGATCATTGTGATCAATCATGCCAAGTGCTTCAGAAATACCGATACCTCAGCCAGAGGAGATCTGAAAACAAGCTTTTCGACATGGCCTCACCAGCACTTGCAAGAAAAAACACACCGCACACCGTTCCATCTGAGTATACAGACATTCTTAGTGTTGCGATCGGTCAGGGCAGGGAGAAAGGCGATACTATGAGTGCCTCTGCTTCAGAGCTTCTATCATCCAACCTGTAGGCCAAGATACCTGCACGACTGGCCTTGCACCACTGCGTGCCTCAAGGCAGACCCGTGTGACCCGTCATGTCCCAACCCAAGCAAGACCTGTCTCGCCTTTACTGTCTGCACATTATGACAGGAGCCACATGCACCTTCAAAACAATCAGCTAAGTGCAAGCGGTGGCACCGTGTCAGGGGATTGAATAACTCCCCGGCGCCGCAATAAACATCACACTCCAGCTTGCATGTGATCCGGATGCCTGGGAAAGGCTGCAACAAAAAGGGGACATTCAAGAGCATTGGGAGAGCATTGGCGGCGAGCAGCTGCAAAGCTCAAAAAATCAAGCAAGCTTTGCCGGACTAGCCAAGTGTGGAAACTTTAAGGCGAATTGATGGGCACGACTTGGTCCTGCCTAGTGGTCCCGTCACCTGAGCAGCACCATCAAGCTGAATGGTGAGCTTGAGATCGTGCGAGATGACGTCTGTGGTCAAAGCCTGAGACACCATGTCACGTCGGAATCACAAAACAGGCGTCTTCTTTTCCAACACATTTGCAGCCAAAACTGGAACCTGAAACATCGCCGAGTCAAGTTTGATTGTCACGTCCGCCCCAACAGTGACCTTCGATTGCGGCAGAACCTTACAGTCGTGGCCCGCGTTGACGACTGCCAACATGGTGCCAGTGACGTGTAATGTGGAGGGCTTCCTTGCAAGCCCAGAAGCAGATGCTGGCCGGCTAATTGCAAGTCCAAGCTCCTCTCCGTGGTACAAGACCTTGACTGCACCTTTAGCAAACGTCATTCGGACAGTCCGAGCGTGTGTGTGAGAGACATATCGCCTATTGCATACAACGGGTAGCCCTAGTCCCTTCCCTTGAAGGAACGCCGTCCATCCACAACCACAAATTGTCCGCAAGCAAACGCAACGCGAAATCGCACACATGTTATCCACCATCAATTAGAAGAAGCCTTTCCCCGAAGGAACGCAAGATAACGCACGTCCCACCCACAAAGTTCATGTGGGTTCTTTGCAACCTTCCACATGCACCTAAAACACCATGTAAACGCAGAACAAAATCTAAACGCAACGAGACACTGCATCCATGACATCCTACTTTTGCATACCGCCACACCCGAAAATCGTATACAGCATTGATCTTCGAGCCGCCCACACCCGAACATCATGCACTGAGCATTGATCTTCGCGCCGCCCACAACCGAAAATCGCGCACCGAGCGTTGGTCTTCGAGCCACCTTTTGGCAGGGTGCGTTCGGCGTAAGCTGCGCGAAAGGTTCGCGCAAGTAGCGCATAAGCAACGGTCGCCTTTTCCTGCCGAACGCCAAGAAATTCAGGGTACTATGCGTACGCAGTGGCGCACCCTGGATTTGCCAAGTGCAGTAGGGGGCTTCATCGCATCAGCTTGGGCTGCATGCAGCTACCACTAGTGCAGCGCCGAAGGGAAGGGGTCACATCATGGTCGTACCACCCCTTGTTTAAGCAGTGCTGGCTTCCAAACGAACAAACAGTGTCCATTCTCGAAAAACCATGCGCGCAAGGAAGGAAAGCATCAACGATCTAGAACGTCTTAACTTGTGGTTGTTCTGCTGTGGTTGCTTCTGCTGTAACCAGCGAATCTGCTTGACGCGGGAAAGTTGACGGTTTTGGCCTGAGGAACCTGAAACCCCAATGAACGCAACTCAGGAAGTTGATGGTCCACCACGGCATCCGTGGTTATTTCCCACGAGTAAACGCAAGCAGCAGCGACTTTTACATCTTCTTCCCCCCATAAACTGCAGATCAAAACGGACTGGCATCGACTAGGGCCGTTGGGGTTAGGGGGTGCCTTAGTCGGCACGCATGGAAGCGTCACCCGGACCTCCATTCAACACCCCGAAGAGCCCTTTCCCCAACGAAAAGCAGCATCAGCACCCGAGCACACGCGCTGGTCTATCCTTGCAAGCATCAAACAACAAAGGGCCACCTCCACTCGCCTCGTAAGGCCAACGCAAAACACTTCTTTGCCATATTCATCCTTGCCATGCCCAGCCTGTGTCTGCTTGGCCACCAAGCAAATTAGGATTGAACACCTGAGGTCGTCTCCACCCAAGGGGCGCTAGTTCGCTGATTCACAATAGATGTACTCGCATGATCTCGCCTGACAGCCTGAAACCACCTGACATCGCGTATCTTGGGCATGGCTTTGAAGTGGAGCCTGCTTGGACCAAGCAGCCTCGGCCTCCGCATAGAACTTCACGTCGGGATAAGTGGCGTTTGGGTCAAATGCGCTTGGTCCGGCCGCAAACGCCATGACAAAGTACATCAGGGCATCTGGAGTTGTCACCTCGCTGTGTACCAATGTACGCGATTGTGTTGGCATGTGACTGCATGAGCCCCTCAGAGCAAACCATAAACATCCAAAAACAACCCAAAAACAACCAAACACCAGGAAAGCTGTGGAAAGTCCAGCTCAAAGTTCAGCGCAAGCGGGGGGGGGAATTTTGGGGTCGTCGCTGGGGTCGTGTCTGTCTCTGCAGCCCCAAGAGGCTTCAAGCTTGGTGAGCTCCCAACTGGGATCTCGAGGCCAAAACAAGCCTCAGTCCCCATCTTGTCAGCGATCTCGTCAAAACCGCACACAGACAGCATACTGGAAGCCAACCATTGCTAGCAAGCCACCCATGCAAATCGCCACAGTCAGCATGAAGCAGCTGCACGCCCCAGCTGCGATGCAGAAGCCTTTCCGTCGGCGCGTGCGGCAGCAGCAGCACCTTTTGGACCTCACATCCTGGTGCTCCAGCATCTTTAGTCTTTTTCGCGCGCGAGAACAACAGCGAGAACAACAGCGAATCTTAAGACGGCAAGCACTACACACATCCCTGCCATGTGCGTTCGATCAGTTAATCCTTTGCTCAGCTATGAAATGCCATGGGTCCTCAGCAGCTGTCTGTACTTTGGTCGTGTCGCCAACTTCAACGTCACAGTTCAGCGCAATGCCTTGTACAGGGTTAAACCTGAGACGAGGTATGAAACTGCAGCGCAGCATCACGCGCAGGAAACTTGAGGGCTAAGCTGGGGCCAACGAAAGCTAGCCCTGGGTATTGCGCGTTATTGCGCAAGACCAGACCTCAACACCAGACTTCCCAGTACAACGCCGCCACGCGCCCCTACCTCACAGCACCGAACCACAACCCCACCAGGCCCCCCCCCCCCCCCCC